TTAATGTCGTGGATTTCTGTGACCAGACAATCCAGGATGATGGCATGATAGTCAACTCACATCAGCAATCTAAGAAGTACTACTTTGTGACCACCGGGACTGACTGTCACCTCACCATGCAGGCCAGCTCCCCTAAAGACAACGTGCAATTCTACTTTCGCTTCTTCCTGGTCTACAGCTTGCTCCGAGTGGTCCCTCTCGGTCCTGCCCCTCTCTTCCCTGAGGCATTACAAGGCTCCTCCCTTCTTAACTCTAGATTCGAGCCCACCTCCAGTGGAGGCCCAGGAGACCCTTGTCATGCTGGCTCATTTATTCAGTTCTATGATGGACGGGACAGGAGTTCACCCACCCTCGGGCCTCCTCTTTGTGGGAAGAGTCCACCACAGCCAGTGCTGTCCACAGGAAACTACCTGACTCTGAGGCTGGTGACCCGCGGGACCCAGCCCAGGGTTGACTTTGTGGGAGATTTCACCTCCTTCAGACTGGGTGAGTCAAACCTCTGTGGGAATCCTCAGATGCTCAATTACATTTGAGACAAACTACAGTGGGATGTCAAAGTTTAAGCAGCCTTGTTAATCTTCATGATTTTCCTGTATAAATCATTGGTTGTTATGATAAAAATGTTGTTGCTGGCTTGTCCAAATGTGCTTTAGCATACCTAAAGCCGCTGTTTGTGCTGTGGGCGGATAAAACGCTTCCTCTGCATTAGGGCTGGGCGATGTGACGATTTTAGACCGTTTTACGATCTACACATCTGACGGTCTGTCATTTTTGAGAGACCGTTTTATCACGATTCACAGCTCTGCTGTTGAATTTCTGCCTCTGAATGAAAAGGGAACTTACCCCAGGCGAATGACACGCCTTTGTTTGACCCTTAACCAATCAGAGTGAGTCATAGTAATATATTAGTGCCCCGCTTGTTTTCACCTTCACTTGTGTGTGAACAAACATGGCTTCGCCGCGGCTGAGAGCGACAACGAGGTTTTCGTTCCGAAGAGGAACGCAGGGTTTCCTTAGCGCGCGGCGCTAACAACTTAGCGACGTGACATGTCTTGGAGAAAGCGTAAAAACACGTTGGACGCTTCTTCTGAAGCAGGAAAATAACACCGCTTCTTAAGCAGAGCACGACGTCGCCTCGGCTCGTTCACCCTCTGCCGAGCCGGTGTCGGTACCGGTCACTGGGTCGTTGGAGCTGCCCCGTGACTGCCTGATGGAAAACCAGCGGGTTTCATCAGACTCATAGTTTCTTGTTTTTGCTGGGGACCCCCTGTATTTTACCGCTCCCTCCTGCAGTCTTCCCCTATTAACATTTAAAATGATTCTGTAAATTCGTGTATCAATAGAAACAATCTCTGCCTCTGCCAGCTGCAGTAAATGTAGTCTCCAAATAATAAATAAGAGGTGCATTCATCTGTGTATCTCCTTGGATCCGCATTAGTGATATTTTCAGCACCAGAACAGTGAAGCAAAGAAACATTCCTGAGTTTGTTAGTAATTTTATTTATTAGGTGCATCTAACCTGTTCTATTTTTCTCTGAAATGAGATCAAATCAGTGCTTCTATGGGTTGTCTCCAATCTGCACTGGAAAATTTTACTTTGTTTAGAGACGTGTTGCAGAAAATATTCAGAATGTGCAGTTATTTGCTACCACAAGCGATCTCTGGTCCAGCCGCACATCAGAGCCGTATTTGAGCTTAACTATCCACTACATGAGCAACTGGGAGCTACATAGTATTTTGAACAAGTTAATGTTTGCACAATACGTTTGCAATTGACATGTTTGCACTTTAAATATGTTTACGATTTTAATTTATGTTAAGTTACTTGAAAAACGAGAAAAACTGATTTTTGTAATTGTTTCTCTCAGGGCTTTTATCATCTCTGGTGTGAGTTTAAAATATAAGTGTGTTAGCACTGTGCTGATTATCCCTAATATGAATAAATGTTTATTTATTCAATGTTTCTCTTCTTTAATACACAATTGAAGTTATGCTATTCATGGATAAAAAAATCGTGATAAAATCGAAATCGTGATAAAATATTGGAAAAATCGTGATATTCTATTTTTGCCATATCGCCCAGCCCTACTCTGCATCACTCTCACATGCAGCATCTCCTTGTGTAAAGTGCACCGAATAGTTGAACGATGCACAGTGACTCCATCTGCAATAAGATGGTTGTCACTTGGAGCCTTAACTTGAACTGTGTCTGTGGTCTTCCATTTCCTACAGACAGCTGAAATGGCTGAGACAGCTTTCTGTTTCCTTCCCCTAAACCGTGATGGTGAACCATCTTTGTTTTCAGCTCATGTGAGAGTTGTTTTAGACCCCCATGTTGCTGCTCTTCAGAGAATATACAAAGAGGAGGGAAACTTACAATCAGTCCCCTTAAATACTCTCTCATTATTGGATTCGCCTGTGTATGGAGGTCAAAGGTCACTGAGCTTACCAAACCAAAGAGCTCCAATATTTACTTCGTAAGGTTTTGCAATCAATCAAATAACAGTGCCCAAATGTATGCACCTACCCAACTTTGTTTCAACAATTATTGCACACTTTTTGTAAATCCTATAAACATTTACTTCTCAAACATCACTGTGTGTGTCTCCTATAAGATATTTTGAACTGAAACTATTTATGGTAAATGTTGGAGGTTTTAAATACCATTTTTCTCATAATATGTGAGACCATATAGGAACAAGAGGTTTGTTCCTCATGATGACGACTCACCCGCATTCATACATGGTGGTGTCAATTCCTTTTTTCCGCGGGCAGCAGAGGATGGCGTCGCCCTCTATCACCGGCGATCTCTGAGGATGGCTAGAGCTACTAGCTGAAACATGTAAGGTAAAAAAATAACTTTTACTAAACTGTGTAAGAAAAGAACAAAAAAATGGACAAAAACACAGTACAAACACACAAAAAAGTTTCAAAGAAAAAAAAAATATGGACAGTAAACAACAAAGCACTTCTGACGTTTGGAATGATTACATCTAAAGGTAGCACGTCTAAGGAACCATCTTCGCTTCAGCTTAAGATTCTGGAAGGAGGACATAACACAGAAAGCCTACAGCTAAAAACATAGATCAAAACTAAGACATCACACACATAATAGAAATAACCAGAAAAGCACTACTCATAGAAATAGCCAATCAGCACTGAGTAGCGTTCGTCACACACTGCAACGCCGAGTTTGTCATAAACATGGCGACTGAAGCGGAGTTCGCTGCAGCTCTTTCCTCTGTTCTAAATGACTTGGACACATTTTTAAAACAAGTAAAAGCGCTAAAAGCCTTTCTTATAAAGAAAAATGCTTGTGCTGTCGCCAGACGGCATTTTTGACCACAGCTAAAAAACTACAGCGTCGCAGATGTCACACACAGCGACTCTCAGTTTCTCATAAACTACGAAGACAGCGGCGGAGTTCGCTGTGGCTCTTTCCTCTGTTCTAAATTTTTCAAATGTCTTTAGGCTCTCAGGCTCAAAATAAGTTTTGATAAAAGGGCGAACAACTAGGTCCTTCAGGGGTACTTCTGAGTTAAAACAACGCACATGAAATACGAATGTGGAGTAACCAGGTAGGCAGGTTTTAATGTTGCTAATCTGCAACGCCTGCCTCCAGAGGGTTAAACACCTATGGATACCCAACATGGGAAATAAGAAAAGGAAAACTACAAACAACAATAGAAAAGAAAAAAGAACCAGAAACACTGAAAGACCAGAACTAAAACCAGTCATAACCCTTCCATATATCAAATGCATAACAGAAAATAGTATAACGATGAAAAACATGATATCAACACTCCAATAAAACCATAAATGACAGTCAGAAAAAGATTAATGCACCAAAAGGACAAGATATCAGCAGATAAATAATGTGGAGCCATTTAGAAATCCCATGCAGACGCTGCAATAAAACACACATAGAAAACTCAACACACGAAAAATAGAGCGTCAAAGGGAGTGTGAGAGGGAAGCAAGTAGAAGACACACAAGAGCAGCCAAACAAGAAGCAGAAAGTAAATAAATAAAGACATCAGCTGTAACAGACCACTGCACAAGGGAAAACCACATAATGGACTGGGAAGGTACACGGGTCAAAAATGCAGAACAACAAAAATACAAAAGATGGATCAAAGAACAATAGAGGCGTGCGCACTGGACCATGAACAGAGAATATGGAACATACTCATTAGATGGGACCATGTCATCAGCAAAGACGGTGCGGGCAGTAGGGGGCGACACCGTCCTCTGCTGTCCGCGGATAACAGGAAGTGACGCCACTATTACCGGCGATCTCTGAGGATGGCTAGAGCTACTAGCTGAAATGTGTCAGGTAGACAAATAACTTCTACTTAACTGTGTATGAAAGGAGCTAAAATGGATTAAGGAGAGCTGAACTGTTCAAACAATTAATAGTTTAGTATATAATTATTTTCATTTAATAGTTGACTGAAATACAAATTAAAGAAAATTTTTGAAATATTTACAATGTGAAGCAAAATTTAAGCTAAACAGTCAACCATCTCTGGAAAGCAATGTAAAAATGTCCTGAACAATTTCATCAGAATTAATCAGTTAGCCTCCAACCGTGCGAGTTCTCCCTCTTACGCCCGAAACACACCAGACACGGAAGCACGACGAAGCGCCGTGGAATGACGAGCGCTTCTAATTGGCGCCCTTATTAACCTACGCTGTCAGTCACATCAGCCGCGAAGCGCCACGGAGGCTTGCGCCGTGCAGCCATCGTTTCGGCATGAGCTCTAGTTTTTCGTGAGCTGTGAGTGAGTCGCGTCAATTCTGGCAGGAAGTCAAACCAAAGCAGAAGAGGCAGGCCAGTAAATTTAACAAAATAAAAGAAAATTTTCAAAATAAAACACCACGATTGATGCATGTGATCATTTTTGTGTATCAAAACAGAAAACACGCAGGCGCGCACACACACACAGACCAGCTCAGTGGCTTAGTGGTAGAGTGTCCGCCCTGAGACTGGGAGATCAGGGTTCAATTCCTGATCGAGTCATACCAAAGACTTGACCCAAAAAAATGGGACCCAATGCCTCCCTGCTTGACACTCAGCATGAAGGGGTTGGATTGGGGGGTTAAACCACCAAATGGTTCCCGAGCGCAGCTGTGTCTGCAGCTCACCTCTCCCCCAGGGGATGGGTCAAATGCGGAGAACAAATTTTGCACACACATCAGTGTGTGTGACAACTAATGGGACTTTAACTTTAACACACACACACACACACACACACACTGCTGACGATTCACCCACGTTCATGCTGACGATTCACCCACGTTCATGCTGACGATTCACCCACGTTCATGCGGACGATTCACCCACGTTCATGCTGACGATTCACCCACGTTCATGCTGACGATTCACCCACGTTCATGCTGACTACTCACCCACGTTCATGCGGACGATTCACCCACGTTCATGCTGACGATTCACCCACGTTCATGCTGACGATTCACCCACGTTCAAGCTGACGATTCACCCACGTTCAAGCTGACGATTCACCCACGTTCATGCGGACGATTCACCCACGTTCATGCTGACGATTCACCCACGTTCATGCGGACGATTCACCCACGTTCATGCTGACGATTCACCCACGTTCATGCTGACGATTCACCCACGTTCATGCGGACGATTCACCCACGTTCATGCTGACGATTCACCCACGTTCATGCTGACGATTCACCCACGTTCAAGCTGACGATTCACCCACGTTCAAGCTGACGATTCACCCACGTTCATGCGGACGATTCACCCACGTTCATGCTGACGATTCACCCACGTTCATGCTGACGATTCACCCACATTCATGTTGACGATTCACCCACGTTCAAGCTGACGATTCACCCACGTTCATGCGGACGATTCACCCACGTTCATGCGGACGATTCACCCACGTTCATGCGGACGATTCACCCACGTTCATGCTGACGATTCACCCACGTTCATGCTGACGATTCACCCACGTTCATGCGGACGATTCACCCACGTTCATGCGGACGATTCACCCACGTTCATGCTGACGATTCACCCACGTTCATGCTGACGATTCACCCACGTTCATGCGGACGATTCACCCACGTTCATGCGGACGATTCACCCACGTTCATGCGGACGATTCACCCACGTTCATGCGGACGATTCACCCACGTTCATGCGGACGATTCACCCACGTTCATGCTGACGATTCACACACAGTCACCCACAGTTTCGTGTCTAGAACATTGTGTTTCAGTTCCAAGTCCCGTTGCAGCTTATTGTAACACTATCTTACCACACCACATCACTGTAATGTGTAATAAAAACGAGCCACACAGGAGAGAACTTTGGAGTTGAGCGGTGACACGACTATATCCTGTTGAACTTCTCCATTGCTCTCTCCCCTTCTCAAAGCTGAAAAAGACAATACTCGTTCCTGTGTGATTTTTACATTAGAAAGGAAAACCCTAACAGTAACAACCAACGAGTTATACAGGAAAATCCTGAAGATTGACAAGGCTGCCCAAACTTTCACATCCCATTGCAGCTTATACAAGGTAATCATCAACCTGACTTCATGATTGTTTACAGGATTCAACCAGTCAGATTGCAGTACTGAGCCCTACTTCCCCTGCAGGAATGGGAAGTGCATCCCTGTTAGTCTGGTGTGTGATGACAAAGCCATTGATAATTGTGGAGATGGAAGTGACTTAGAGGAAAACCTGACAACTGACTGCAAAGGTCTGTTCTGTGTGCTACTTGTTCATTATCATGCAGACCCTGAATCAGCAGCTTGTAGTCATTTACCAAAATGGTTCCATCAGCAGGTCGGTTCCTGCCCCAGGAGCCTCCATCCCTTTTGGTAACCTCACTGCCCTCCTCTGTGAATCTGCCTGCAGAACCTAGTGGGACACGAGCGAACAACTCCTTCAGTCATGAATCGGTAACAGGTGAGTGAACATCAAAAATAAATATTCAAGCTGGACATTTAAAGTGGTTTTTAGTGAGAAAATGTTGAATCCTGCAGCAAAACAGTAAACTGTTTAACCAGGAGTTAGGCCTAGAGCAGTGCTGAAGGCCCGTGGCACAGACAGTCTCTGCAAGCCTACCAAGGCTGGCATACAACAGCAGCTTTCTGCTTCTTTGTGTTCATCTGAAAGCTTGTTTATGGTCTTTAAAAGTATAGATGGTTAAAAAAACACTGTAGTGGTTCCTGGGTTTATATGGTTGCCCATTCTCAGGTGCAGCACTGAGACACTTTTGCATGATGTAGGCAAGGAAAATAGTTTTGCTGCCTTCCAGCAGCACAGTGTTGTTGCGGTGGTTAGCTCTAGGGCTGTGGAGCAATCATGGCAAACATTAAAGTAAAAAATTATCATAAAAAGTGGTCAGATGGAGGCAACAAAGAAGATGGCAAAAATCATTGATACCATCCAAAATGGCTGGATTGTGATGCTCAGAGACCACTGAGATCAAAGCGTAACATTAAATGAAAACATTTAATTGAACCCAAAAAAACTTTTCATCAGGATGTGACATATATTGTTTATCATATCAAATAAATATCAGCCTGCCTGTTGGCTGATTCATGCTGCAACGAGCCGGTTTCAGGAAACCCAAAGCCCTGGTCGTGGCGTGGAAGAATATTAGTTCATAGTTTAATTCTACTAAACTCACTGTCACATGTCAGAAAATGCACCAATCAGGAATCTGAAGACGTATGTATAAACATAGTTAGATATCTTACAAAACTCAATGTGTGTGTTTTGGCTAATTATTGCCAGATTTGCACGACAACTAGTGCACTAAAGCATTCTTACACATATAGTGGGATGCGAAAGTTTGGGCAGCCTTGTTAATCTTCATTATTTTCCTGTATAATTGTTGTCTGCTAGGATAAAACATTTTTGTTAAAAATATCTTCTAGGAGATACACACAGTGATGTTTGAGAAGTGAAACAAAGTTTATGGGATTTACAGAAAGTGTGCAATCATTGTTTAAACTTTATCCAGGTGGAGATATTTTGGCTCTGTTGTAATTTTTTTTATTCCAAAACCTTTAGAACTAATTGTTGGAACTCAAAATTGGTTTGATAAGCTCCGTGACCCTTGGCCTCCATACACAGGTGAATCCAGTTACGAGAAAGAGTATTTATCCAGCCGTCTACCCATCCATCCATCTTCTTCCGCTTCTCCAGAGTCAGTTCATGGGGGCAGCAGCCTAAGTCAAAAGGCCCAGACTTCCCTCTTCCCAGCCACTTGGGCCAGCTCTTCCAGGGGAATCCCAAGGTGTTCCCTGGCCAACCATGACATAGTCCCTCCAATGAGTCCAGGTCTCCCGTTAAGTCTCCTCCTGGTTGGACGTGCCCAGAAAGCCTCACCAGGGAGGCGTCCAGGAGGCATCCTAATCAGATGCCTAAGCCACATAAACTGGCTCCTCTCGATGTGGAGGAGCAGCGGATCTAATCCGAGCCCCTCCCGGATGACCATGCTTCTCACCCTATGTCTAAAGGAAAGCCCAGCCACACTGCGGAGAAAACTAATTTCTGCCGTTTTTAAAAACCATTTATCTCATTATGGGTCAATTGAGAGCTTTGCCTTCTGACTCAGCTCTCTCTTCACCACGACATACTGGTACAACACCTGCATCACTGCAGATGCAGCACCAATCTGCCTATTGATCTCGCATTCCAGCTTTCCCTCGTGAACAAGACCCTGAGATACTTAAATTCCTCCACTTAGGGCAGGACCTCATCCCTGGCCTGGAGAATGCTTTGTACCCTTTTCCGAAACAAGACCATGGTCTTGGAGGAACTGATACAGATACACTCAGCTGCCAACCGCTCCAGCAAAAGTTGGAGACCACGCTCTGATGAAGCCAACAGGACCACATCATCTGAACAAGCAGAGACCCGATCCTCACGCCACCAACACCATACAGTGGGGCAAAAAGGTATTTAGTCAGCCACCGATTGTGCAAGTTCTCCCACTTAAAATGATGACAGAGGTCAGTAATTTTCATCATAGGTACACTTCAACTGTGAGAGACAGAATGTGAAAAAAATCCATGAATTCACATGGCAGGATTTTTAAAGAATTTATTTGTAAATCAGGGTGGAAAATAAGTATTTGGTCAATAACAAAAATTCAACTCAATACTTTGTAACATAACCTTTGTTGGCAATAACAGAGGTCAAACGATTACTATAGGTCTTTACCAGGTTTGCACACACAGTAGCTGGTATTTTGGCCCATTCCTCCATGCAGATCTTCTCGAGAGCAGTGATGTTTTGGGGTTGTCGCCGAGCAACACGGACTTTCAACTCCCTCCACAGATTTTCTATGGGGTTGAGGTCTGGAGACTGGCTAGGCCACTCCAGGACTTTCAAATGCTTCTTACGGAGCCACTCCTTCGTTGCCCGGGCGGTGTGTTTGGGATCATTGTCGTGTTGGAAGACCCAGCCACATTTCATCTTCAAAGCTCTCACTGATGGAAGGAGGTTTTGGCTCAGAATCTCACGATACATGGCCCCATTCATTCTGTCCTTAACACGGATCAGTCGTCCTGTTCCCTTAGCAGAAAAACAGCCCCAAAGCATGATGTTCCCACCCCCATGCTTCACAGTAGGTATGGTGTTCTTGGGATGCAACTCAGTATTCTTCTTCCTCCAAACACGACGAGTTGAGTTTATACCAAAAAGTTCTACTTTGGTTTCATCTGACCACATGACATTCTCCCAATCCTCTGCTGTATCATCCATGTGCTCTCTGGCAAACTTCAGACGGGCCTGGGCATGCACTGGCTTCAGCAGTGGAACACGTCTGGCACTGCAGGATTTGAGTCCCTGCCGTTGTAGTGTGTTACTGATGGTGACCTTTGTTACTGTGGTCCTAGCTCTCTGCAGGTCATTCACCAGGTCCCCCCGTGTGGTTCTGGGATTCTTGCTCACCGTTCTCATGATCATTTTGACCCCAAGAGATGAGATCTTGCATGGAGCCCCAGATCGAGGGAGCTTATCAGTGGTCTTGTATGTCTTCCATTTTCTGATAATTGCTCCCACAGTTGATTTTTTCACACCAAGCTGCTTGCCTATTGTAGATTCACTCTTCCCAGTCTGATGCAGGTCTACAATTCTTTTCCTGGTGTCCTTCAAAAGCTCTTTGGTCTTTGCCATAGTGGAGTTTGGAGTCTGACTGTTTGAGACTTTGGACAGGTGTCTTTTATACAGATAATGAGTTCAAACAGGTGCCATTAATACAGGTACCGAGTGGAGGACAGAAAAGCTTCTTAAAGAAGACGTTTCAGGTCTGTGAGAGCCAGAGATTTTCCTTGTTTGAAGTGACCAAATACTTATTTTCCACCCTGATTTACAAATAAATTCTTTAAAAATCCTGCCATGTGAATTCATGGATTTTTTTTCACATTCTGTCTCACAGTTGAAGTGTACCTATGATGTAAATTACTGACCTCTGTCATCATTTTAAGTGGGAGAACTTGCACAATCGGTGGCTGACTAAATACTTTTTTGCCCCACTGTAGATCCCCTCAACACCTTGCTTGTGCCTAGTCCATAAAAGTTATGAACATAATCAGTGATAAAGGGCAGCCTTGGTGGAGTCCAACTCTCACTGGTACCAAGCCCAACGTACTGCCAGCAATGCGGACCAAGCTCTTAAACCAGTCATATAGGGACCTAACAGCCCGTATCAGAGGGCCTTGTACTCCATACTTCCAGAGTGCCCCCCACAGGGTCCTCAATGAGACGTGGTCGAATGCCTTCTCCAAACCCACAAACACATGTAGATTGGTTGGACGAACTCTCACACACCCTTCAGGACCCCCCTAAGGGTATAAAGTTGGTTCAGTGTTCCACGGCCAGGACAAAAATCACATGCTCTTCCTGAATCCGAGGTTCGACAATCCAACAGACCCGTCATTCCAGACTGCCTGTACCTATCAGCTGCCTCTGGAGTTCCACAGGCCAAAAAGATTGGATAAGACTCTTTCTTCAGCTTGACAGCATCCTTAACCACCAGTGTCCACCAGCAGCTTTGGGGGTTGCCGTCAGGACAGGCACCGATCACCCTGCAGCCACAGCCCTGGTCGGCCGCCTCAACAATGGAGGCACGGAACATTTTGGAAGTTCTGTCGGAGGTGGTAATTAAAGCTCCATCTGAGAGTATTTAACCCTCTCAGGCTCAAAATAAGTTTTGATAAAAGGACAAACAACTAAGTCCCTCAGGGGTACTTCTGGGTTAAAAAATGCTCATGAAATACATATGTGGAGTAACCACTGTAGCATCCAGAAATGGTCAGTTTTTCATCTACAGTTTGACCTCTTCAGTATCCGGTCATATGGTCAGATAATTTAGATGGTTGAACAGATACAGATACAGATAATGGTGTACTTGCTCATCCCTACGGTTTACACATCCAAAACAGAGTTGCATTTATATTTTTGGCCTAACGCTCAAAAGCCAATTTAACCTCCGGTCACCTAGGATTTTCTCTCGGTACCACAAGACAAAACAACTAACTTATCTCACCAAATCTCTCCACTCAGGTCTTGAGTAGTTTGTGGATCCGCATTTCCTCCCAGCAACGTCAAGACCCTCACACCGATCCCCCAGCAAAACTCTGCGCTGGAGGCGATTTAGGTTGTCGACAGTCCTCCGGCGTCGGTTCTTGGCGCCGTGAGGTGATGGGACCCCGGCTCTCGAAGGACCAAATTATGTTAGGGATTTTATCAATAACCCATTTCCTGTAGTCAAAAAGAAAAGGAGACAATGAGACAACAAGTCAACCAGTTATAAATGTGGCATATGCACGAGGCAAAATGCCCCGAACATCCGGTCACAGACTTTATTTAAACAGAAAGATAAGAATGGGAGTGAGGTCACTGTGTGAGAGAGAGAGTCAGTGTGTGTATGAGTGAGACAAGAATGTGTGTGTGTCTGTATGGAAGAACAGTGTGTGGGTGTGTCTGAGTGTGGTGAGAAGGCTTCAGGACATTTGTTAACAGGATTAAAGCAATGAAATATAAAATTTCCATAACAGCAGCTTTTCAGAGTTTTCATTGAATGTTTTCCACAACAGAATGACAGTAAAAGCACCAGTAATGTATTTTAGATCTATTTATGTTTGTTTTAATTAATTTTCCACTAAAATCAGCATCTCATTGAAAAAACATCCACACTTTTTTGCTATTTTTTTCATAATTCAGAAGCGAAACGTTTTTTAAACATGACAACAAATCTCTTCTAGATTTTAGGTGAGACAATAAACATCAGATTCTTATCTGTAAAAAAATCAGATCTAATCTAATAAAAGTTTCTTAGAGATACTTTTTGCCTCAAATGTCTGAGAATCAGTGATCGAAGCTTCCATTTACTCTCATTATTTCTTCGCTGTGCTTTAAGGGGCTCAGCATGTAGCAGGTATCTGAAACCGCAGCACCTTGTCTGTGTTAGAGCCTCCATTGTTTATCATGGACCTGTCTAATTACTGGAAAACCTGCATTTGACCTCTTTATATCAGACTCCGGGCCGAGACATGAAAAATGACTCAGAAACAACAAAGACTCTGAGCGTATCTCTGAACACGTTTAGTTCACGAGTTTACAGCGTTTTCTCCTCCGTGCTCACTCACCCTTGTTTTGGTGGTCCGGGCGCGCCGGATCTGCGTTAAAGTCCCGCCTCCATCTGATTGACAGCAACAGGCAGATTTCTTCACAGTTTCTTCTATAAGATTGAAACTCGAAACGGAAACTGTCAATAATGCGGGACATGAGTCTCTATTTGCGGGAGATGTGAAAAGTAATGAAAATGTGGGACTGTCCCACACAAAGCGGGACATCTGGTCACCCTAATTTAGTAATGTTTGACATTTTTACTTCGCAATGAGGGAAATAACCTCTCTAAGTGTTTGAGGAATGAGTGGTGTCTGAGGGGCTTTAGTAAACGCCCACATTAAACTTGTTAAATTTTGATTTGCCAAAATTAGTAAACAACCAGTTTTACAAAAGAGAAATTACTTCCTCAAGCCTGCAGTTCTAGCGCTGTTTATATAGGCCAACTGGTCAGTTGCATCCTTGTCTTTGCAAAACTGCAAAACTTCATCAGAGAAACAACTCTTCAGATGTGAAACGTCTTGCCAAAAGACCATGAGGTTATCTCTGACCAGCTGATGCAGATTCAAAGGAAGCTACGTTCTTTGACATCCAGAAATCAAACTACTTGCATGCCGAGGAGACTTTGTGGCCAGCAGGCTTGCTAGGATGCCTCATCACACGGGTACTGTGCAACACACCTGGTTTCAGGATGGATTAATAAATATGTAATCACTTGTTAAACCTCATTAAAAATTCAGCTAAACTTGTTTTACAATCCAGACATCACAATATTCTGAGACACTTCATTAGGTTTTTTTTTAACATAACATCTAAGCTCCTGTTTCATCCTTGCTCATTCAGTGTCTCACCTTAACTCAGCATGTATAATCATTTGTTCTGCATCATCCTAGTAGTGGAAATACAGTACTGAATTGATTTTTATAAACTATGTTTTTGTCTCTGTGTCAAATTATTATAAAGTGTTGTTTCCCTGGTTTACCCAAAGTGCCTGGTTTCATTAGTAATCAAATATTATAGGTTCAATAATAATGACAATCCATATTTTTATGGAATATTACATTTTGGTGAATACCTTTATATTCTATTGACTGTTTATTAAAAGCAACCACTTACAACATGTTACAACCCAAACGCACGCACCTGCTTACTGCTCTTTAAACAGTTATTACACTTTCTGTAAATTCTACAAACTTTGTTTCACGTCTCAAACATCACTGAGTGTCTCCTATAAGATATGTTTAACTGACAGTTTCATCATAACAACCAACGATTTGTAAAAGATCATCATGAACATTTACAAGGCTGCCCAAACTTTCCCATCCCACTGGAGCTAGCTTACTCTGATACCTCTCATGTTTACTTTATATTTCAGTTTTGATTTGTTTATTAGCCATGTTTACATTTGTGTGTGTGTGCGTGTGAGACATCTATTACAGCCTTGTTTTATTTTGCCATCTCCTTTGGTGAGCTGTGTTTAGCGAGTGCATGTTGTTGTGCAGTAGAAATAAACACTAAAACAGGGGTGTCACATATGCGGCCCACGGGCCGTATCAGGCCCACACACAGTTTAAATCCGGCCCGCGAGATGATTGTGTAAACCTTATTTTCAATTAAACTGCTGGTGAAAGCTAAAAGATGTCAGGTATCAGGAGTCAAAGACATGCATGAAACTGGTATAGCCATGTAATCTGTGAATCAGTTATGTGAATTACCGAGGAATAGTCGGGGTTTTTTTGTTTTGTCTTTCACATTTTCAAATACACTTCAGGTGTTCTATTATTAGTAGTGATGTTGTGCTTAAAGTATTTTGGATACTGTCCTCAGGCTCCAGCTTTGTTTTATGTTGATCGTATTAAAACAAAGAAAACAATCTGAAGAAGTTTTTAATTTATACATACTTTAATTTTACTGGCCTAGCCCGCTTGGGACTAGATTTTCCTCAATGTGGCCCCTGAGCAAAACTGAGTTTGACACCCCTGCTCTAGAATCTTCTATGTAGTGTAGTAACTAGACAGAACTGGATTACACACTCATTTTAAAGCTTGTTTGTTGAACTTCTCCATGTTTCATCCAGACCTGAGCCCATCTTGGTCTCTGCTGGTTCTGTTCATCGCCCTGGGTGTGGTGGCAGGAGCTGTCATGTTCTGCTGGTGCTGCTGGTCGCCTGGCTGGTTCCTGTGGCGGGTCAGCATCTGTCGCTTCTTACCCTGCTGTAACTGGGCTTGTGCCTCCTGCAAGTTCTGCACTCACAACAAGGAGCATCGGGTGGCAAAGATCACCCCTTACCCACCGGTGAACAGGTCATCAGTGGGCACAACAGCCACAAACAGCAATGAGGACAACATCACCACAGTAGCTGTGTAGCCCAGACCTGTCTGGTTCTGGTTCTGAAAGCTGCTGATTAATTTGAGAAGGGTTTGGTGTGGTCCAGTACGTGGTGCTGAGGGCCTTAGACAATACTGTTACGCTCATTGCAACACCCAGCATTAATTCACTCACAAGAAGGGGCGGGACTTATGGGGAAAGTGTCGCTTGAGACACATTATGATCTGGATCAGCTTTGGTGAAGCAGAATAAACCATGACTGTGAGATTTGAATCACGTTTAAATCACAAACTAAAGTTAGATGTTTGAGCATCTACATGACCATGAGACCATGGTTTATAGGAGTAGAGAGTCTGTGGCCCAGACCACAGCTGTTTTCCACTGGAGAAGCCTAAAGCCTAAACTCATTTAATCCTGATGGATACCAACAACTTTGGGACATTAAATGTTAAATGTTGGGTTGACCTCTTTCTCTATGAAACTTGCACATGAACCGATTCCAAGAACTTTTAGTTTGATCGAATTAAACGGTAGTTAGGAGGGTTACAACACAAGTTCTAGCTGAATCTGGGTTTTTGTCAGCAGCCCTGATGGGCTTCATCCCTCTGGTCCTCTATGGAACATGTAGTTAACGGGTAGAGCTGGTGAAAATGAAACTGACACCACCCCTTCTAACAGGGGAAAAATTGAATCCAAACCTCTTATCAGTCTTGTCTAAATGTTCCGTGAATCTTAACGAGCTGCAGTTGAATTTTATATCACTCAAACTCAATCTGAGACAAAAATCTTAATTGGCTATACATTTATTAACTAATATATTCACTTCAGCTCCTTCTCAAGCATTAATCAATCAATATCAACCAACCTATTTTATCAACAACAATTAACAATGAAACAATGAAATGATCCTGTAAAACAATCTGACCCAATAAGTGTGTTTTAGACTTGTGTCCTCCTAAACACTGAAAACAAGTGTGTGTGTGTGTGTGTGTGTGTGTGTGTGTGTGTGTGTGTGTGTAGGTGGGTGGGTGGGCAACTTGCACTTTAAACTTCTGAAGCACTTTCAATCACAGTAACTTAAACCAAACTTCAAAACCGCTTCACAAAAATCAAGAAACAACACAAAAGATCGATCATAAATGAATAACTAATAGTTTAGTCAGCCTGGCCACAGCATAAAACTATTTAAGTTATTAAACAATGACAAAAAAAACGGCTTACTCTTTAAGATGATCCGATGGCGTTTTTGGTACGGAGAAGGAAAGCCATCTGGTAATTTGAAGCAATTGCGCGGTTTGATCGCTTATTCTGAACTTATTAGAAGAAACGGAAGGAAGAGAAATAGGAAAAAACAAAAGCTTGCGTGAGCGAACCCCAAGGCGTCCCTTTTTGTGTTCGCGCTGCAGGTCAGATGGTTCCTCTGTTGATTCCAGCGGCTCGGCCTCCCGTCTGTGCGTTCAGAGTCGTAGCAGCGAGCGATCTCTCCAAACATCAGCTGAAGCTGAACACAAAGAGAGCAGATCTGATGGTTTTCCGCTGCTTTTCAGCAGTTCTGTGTTCCGTCCACTTCAGCCGCCAGGCCTCGTGCACACGTTGTCCGGAGTGGCAGCAATGAGCGTTTTTCAACTCCAGTTGAACTGGACTAAAGACAAGATGAGTTTCGTTTGTCTCCCTTTTATAGACACTGGCGGTCCGGCGGGAAGACTCCATGTGGCTCCAGCACATGCGCAGAACTTGTTTCTGGTTCCGCTCAGAGACCGGCTTTCCAGACCGCTTCAGTGGGAGGAAATCTTACCGCATCTCTGTGGTTCTGCGCTGCGAACCCCTCTACAGATCTTCAGCTCACTGTCCACCGTGTGCGCTCCGAGCTGCGCTGAGCACAGAAATGCGCCTGCATACTGGATACTCGTTACTACCCTATTTCATCACTATTTGGCAACCCAGAGAAACCGAAACTGCAGTAACCAAATCTGACCACAGGACGTCACTGTTACTCAATTCTTACATCGTCTACCTTTAATAGGCAGACTGAATATGCATTCAAGAAATCTATAATTCTATTGTTCCTAGTAGCAATTAACATTTCAGATATCTAAAATGTTCATTCCAGTAAGGATTGTTCAGTTATAAAAATCTTTGATGTTATAGTTAATATAGAACATAACTGCGTTATACAACATAGAATTAATGTCAGTTACTTTGCTAGGTAACTAATTATTTTTACAATGTAGTAACTGAGTTACTAACCCAATGACTTTTGGAAAAAGTAGTTTGTAACTTTAACAAATTACTTTTTTATGTAAGACACCCAACACTAGTCTTCAACATGCCTCCCCCTCCCCCATTCATAATTAAAAGTGGAAGAAAAAAAAACTTCAATGGTTTGGTTTTTCACAGTTTTAATATATAGTCCTCATTACAATATTTACACAATTCTTGTTTTACAGATGTATTTACATGTATTTAAAAACGAAGAACAGCTGGTTTGGACTAGCTTAAGGTGGGTCAGAACCTCTCTGGGGTTAAGACCCGATCAAGTTTCGAGCAGCAAGCAGTCCTCGTTCTCCTCAGCCGGGAGCATCAGCTGCTGCTCATAATACAAACTCTTGGCATAGTTGATTTCTTGAGAGATCTTGACAGCAAGGCTTTCACTCTTTACATGGACCTGCAAACAAGAAACCCCCACCTTAATGTCCAGAGTTTTACATTCAATGATGTCACACTCCATAATTATCTGAATTATTACAACAAACCCATGAGAGTTTAATCATCCTTTCACACATTTGGTTCCAGGTCAGATCCTAGAGCCAGCATGTGATAAAACGACCCTCTACAGGGTTAATGAATGTCTCCGCCCCCACTGCCCCCTGTGGCCACAATAGATAGACTGAAGTCCTGTATCTTGTGTGAAGCAGTCACAGTTTATATCAATCTATCTTTACACCTTTGCACTACAAAAATAAAAAATGAATGATTAACAAGAGTCTGCTTCTCTTGCAAACCATGTGAGCACCTGTGTGTGTACACGCGCTTGTATATATATGTATAAGGTTTCTCTATAGGAGCGTCCAATAGAGTGTGAGGGGCCACAGATCTGCCCCCAAAGATGTGTAGGAGACGGAGGGAGCTCCCAAGTCCCAGAGATCCAGGAGCTGCCCCAGAGCACAGGGACCCCGGGGAGACTGTTAACCAGAAAAGCCCCCGCCCCCCTCGAAAGGCGCAGAGGAACGCCCAGGGTGCCACAACCAGCAGCCGGCAGAGTCCCGGGTGATATCAGTTGCAAGCTCACCGGCCCACCCGCAGCCTCCCACCCCCAAGTCGGCCGAGCCCGGAACCCAGCGACCCGGGACCCTGGGGTGACCGCTCCCGCCGGGGACCCAACAGAGCCCAGGGACTCAGATCCCACCAGGCAGCCACTGGGATTAATCAGGCAGATGCCAAAAATCTTAAACCCCCTGACCCGGGAGCCGTGAACACTCAGGCAGACCAAGACACCACACCCCACACCAGGTGTGGCAGGGGGAGGGGAGGCAAAGATGTGTAGCAGCAAAAGAAGCCTCAGGAGAAGGGAGGAGTCCAAAACCCCACCTAACATATACAGCCATATACAGACACAGTCACACACTCCCTCCCTCATGCTCACACATACACATACAACCAAAGACTTAGAAAAATTCACGCCGGACACCCACTCATGCTCCCCATACACACCCTATTCACTCTGGTCCCGGCACTGCTGCACATGGGGTACAACCATCACCGGTTCCCAGAGTTCGACCCTTTCTGCTGGGGTGCTGATGAGCAGGCTCCCCCGCCCAACGCTGAGCACAGCAACCCACCACCCCAACCAGACGGCCAGATCCCCTCCTAGCCTCCAGCCCTGGGAAGCCAAGCGACAACAGAGGTGTGCTAAGACCCCTAGTCTCCCTCCGCCTGCTCCAATACAGTGTTAGTGTGAGTTGATGAGGTGTATTCCATGGCTGTAGTGAGCGGGCAGTGCGGGCATTGTCTGGCCTATGCCAGCGGATGGCATAGGCGGTTATTTTTGATAACTCTGAAAGCTCAACTGGATCAAAACAGTTCAAGCACAGATGAGGTTCTACAGTCACCTCTGATGCTGCCTCACTTACTGAGGAAGAAGTAATCGCATTAGGGAGGATGCTAAAGATTTTGTTTCTAATAGAATTAATTTTACTTGTAAAAAATCCCATGAAGTCATTGCTGCTGAGGGCTAAGGGAATAGATGGCTCAGAGCTATGATTCTGTGTAAGTTTAGCAACTGTACTGAAAAGAAATTTAGGATTATGCTTATTCTCCTCAATTAATGCTGAAAAATAAGCAGTCCTAGTTTGTTGAAGCTTATTTTTATAAAGCACATGACTATTTTTCCAGGACAGGTAGGCCTCCTCATGGTGCGTGGAGCGCCATGTTCTCTCCAATTTCCTAGAGTTTTGTTTTAAGGCTCGTAAATGACATTTAAACCAGGGAGCCAACTTCCTGTCCCTAATTACCTTCTTTTTTAAAGGGGCAACATCATCTAATGCCACACGTAAAGAGGAATTAACATGATGAACTAATGCATCAATTTGTGAGGGGCTAGAACTGAAAATATTGCCCTCTGCTACATGCCTCTGAGATGCTGAGGACAGTAAAGATGGAACAGTTGATTTAAAAGATGCAACAGCGTTGTCAGATAGAGACCGACTATAATGAAATTTACTTTCATGTCTCGAGAACTCAGTTATAAAAAACTCAAAGGTTATCAGAAAGTAGTCCGAGAGGACTGGATTATGTGGAAAGATTGTTATTTCCTCACACTCTATGCCATAAGTCAGCACAAGGTCCAATGTATGATGGCAGGAGTGGGTGGAGCTATGTATTCTTTGAGTAAAACCATTTGAGTCTAAGATATTACTAAAGGCTAAATTGAGGCTATCATTCCCACAAAGACTAAAGGAAAAAAAACAAACTGGTCCTTTGTGATTCACTACTGTGGATTATTTTCCAGACTTCTTTGTTGACTTCACAAAGAAATGAACAACAGGCACAAAAAGCCCATTATGGCCCTCATGTGGCAGGAGTCTCAGAGAAGCTGAGAAGAATCTTCTCCAAACACAGCATCCCAGTAAACTTTAACCCAACAACACCCTCAGACAGAACCTGGTCCATCCTAAAGACAAAACACCCAAACAGAAGCTCAGTGGCGTGGTTTATGCAGCCCAGTGTAGGAGCACTGTCCAGATGTTTACATCAGGCAAACTAAACAACAATTACACAAAAGCCTGGCACACCACAGGAGAGCAACCTCTTCAGTTCAGGACTCTGCAGTCCACCTACATCTGAAGGACAAGGGACACACCTTTGAAGAGGACTTATGGGCCATTCCCATCTGTACCGGGTCGGCCCGGGCCGGGTAGCCCCAGTCGGCCCCAGCCTGGCCCGGTTGATTCCACACATCCTTGTCTTAAGCCCATGTGGGCTGATTCTACCCACCAATCAGAGGCTTGCTCTAATGGAAGGTGTGAATTTCTTGTCAGCAGTGGGCGTGTTGGCCCTGGTCGGCCTGAAGCAGACCCCCTCGAGAAGAGGGCCGAGAATGAGCCTTGGTTGGCCCGGGAAAATTCCAGGCCACCCAGATATGTAAACAACCTACGCTACTCGGCCCGGGCCGACCCGGTACAGGTGGGAATGGGGCTAAAGTCCACATTCTGGACAGAGAAGATACAGATGGGTTGAGAGAGGAGTAAAAGAAGCTATCTATGTCAAACATGAAAAACCTACTTTAAAGAGCAAATGTCAGGTCAGAGACTCCCATGGATCGATGTTTGGAATAGAAACTCGTTTTAAATTTTTTTTACACAAACATAAATTATTTAGGCTTTTAGAGTCATTTTAGTGAGAAAGGTTTATTTTTATAAACCAAACGACACAGCTGAGGGAGTCCTGATAGCTTAATCCAGATAAAAATATGGACTCTAATGCAGCTCTGACACAGATGAAACTTTAAATGTTTATAATTTTACTTCTGATGGACCAGAACCATAAAGTTATGAGTTTGCTGCTCGCCCCAGAGAGCAGAGACAAACCAGAGATAGAAACCATTGGCCAAAGCAGAAAGATTGTGCTGCCATGTGAGGAGAAGAAATATTGTACAGATTACTATCATGTACCAGGCAGTTAAAATAGTATCGGTCAGTTAATATAATATTAATGCTAATGAGCGTCTGTCAGCTGTCTCATACTCGTTAATATCCGCTCACCTAACCTAGTTTAGCTCAGAGAGGGGGAGAGAGATGCCTGTCATCCGGTTCTGGAGCTCATGCGGGCTTTTGTGAGCTGGATCCGACCCAGACACCAGCGAGCCAGTCCAGCCGGGATTTTTAAAAGCTGTGCATCCTCTCCTGGTAGTCCAGGTGGTGGTTCTGACCTGGTTTTGACTGTGATCTGAGCTCCAGAAACCCACATTTAATTTTTAAACCCCACCACAGGTCTCTGGAGCCCAGCGCGGACCTCCCTGACTCGGTACTGACCAATGTGGGCTACAGAAGTCCGTCTTTTCTGTTGCACAAAACGCCCTCAGACATGAAGACAGAGGCGTTGTTTCTCTTACCTGGAAACCCGTGGACTCGATGTCCAGACAGGCTGGAGTTGGTACAGCCATCACACACTCTAGTTTATCCACATGAACACAATCCAACACTAGTAAACACAAACACTGACTGGATCACATGACCTCTCTACCCTAAAACTAGCCACTCTCCACAGAGCTGAGGCAGCCTAGCTTCTAACTCGCTTTGGTTACGTCAGAGGTTCACATTTAGAAACAAGAGTAAGGAACTTTTTACTAGAAAATTCTGCTGTTGTGTGTTTTAACACCAAATATCCACAATAAGCTTTTCTAATAGTATTTTTTGGACAGCGTTTGATGTGAATTAGAAAAAAAAAATTTTACCTGCTATTTGCTCTTTCAATAGGGGAGGGGCTTAGATTTAACCTTTCCAGTACCTATAATGCAGCTTTGAATCTCATTCCTAAGCAGTTTCAGTCTAGGTCACACCTTCCTGCATCTGATCAACACGATGACTCACCATCAATAGAGGCTAACGACTCATGAGGAGGCAGAGAGGAGGGGTACTCAGAGTAGTTTCCTAACCCTAATCAAAATCTTTATATGTGCTTGATCCTTGGATGATGTTGCATATGCTTTGTATTGGCCACGCCCATTACTGCCTAACTAGATTTTTTGCTAGATCACACAAAACACAAAACTTAGTTTAAATCACCAATCCATTGTTCTTTGTCGAATCAACCTGAAACTTGGCACATATGATCTATAGATATAGGTCATTGTGGTGAAGAGAACTGCAAAAAATATTGAAAATAGCTAGCATGACCTAATTGATAATATTTCCAAAATTTTTCAAGATTAAATGATGAGACTCTGGATTCTCTCAAAGTATGAGCTGTAAGCTTAATGTATCACATTTAGTTCAGTTTAACCAAGGGAGGGTGCTAAAGGATCAAATAGTTTATATCGGCATAACGGCTTGATGGATTTCCACAAAACCTGGCACAAATGTCCATTACCGCACCCTTAAGCCATAATTTAAAAAATGATTTTAAAGTGGGCGTGGCTTCAAGGTTTTAAGATATGTTGCAATTTAAGAGATGAAAAATATATGCACAAATTTACAGATCATATGTGTAATGGTGTTGTCTACAACCACAGAATTTTTGTTTAGTCCATTAGGTGGCGCTGAACCCAAAGATATATTTAGCTATTTTTGCTATTTTGCTAAAATAGCAAAATATGTAAAACATGCCTTTGTTAAACTCTCCTAGCCATTTAACCCAATCAAATCGAAACTTTGCCTGACAAGAGGGGGACAGCGGGTGAACAAAAAATGTAAACGTTTTTCTAATATAACATAGACATATTCTCATCATTAAAACAATTTTTTTTACAATAAATTCATAACATGTTGACATTTTAAAGCTCTTTACACCTATAGTACCTAAGGTCAATTCAAGTGTACAATTCAATTTTCAGCTAGGTGGCAGTATAAAATGGAAGAATTTACATTGTCAGAATGGGTGAATGGACTTGCATGAAACTTTTTTCATTATACAGCCTTGATACAATGATAGCAATATGGTAATGGTTGGTCAAAGTGGGTGTGGTTTATGTACGTCTACATTTTCTAAATTACCTAAAAATCACTAATTGCATGTAGGGGGCTAAGGTGCTCAGTTGGGGTAATTACATAGACTCTGGGATTATATAATGAAATTCGCAACTTTTTCAATTTTACAACAGTTTTTTTAGGCTAGCAGTCATAGCACAAATTCTCTTATGCGTAATGTCTAGAAATTTTGATCAGACTTTACTTGCATATTGTCTAATGAACCCTTAAAATGTTGTCAAGATTCGAGCGCCCCCTTGTGTTAAATGTTATTGAGATTTTTAACCCAAGACACCATATACAAATACATATACATATATATATATATATATATATATATATATATATATATATATATATATAGACCTGGGGATGGACTGTCCAATCTCGGGGGCAGAAGTTGCTGAGGTAGTCAGACAACTACACAGCGGCGGAGCCCCGGGAGCGGATGAGATTCGTCCTGGGTATGTCAAGGTTATGGATGTTGTAGGGCTGTCATGGTTGACATGTCTCTGCAACATTGCGTGGTCATCGGGGGCAGTTCCTAGGGAGTGGCAGACCGGGGTGGTGGTCTCCATCTTTAAGAAAGGTGACTGAGGGTGTGTTCCAACTATAGGGGGATCACACTCCTCAGCCTCCCTGGAAAGGTTTACTCCAAGGTACTGGAGAGGAGGGTCCGATCGATAGTTGAATCTCAGATTGAGGAGGAGCAATGTGGTTTTCGTCCTGGCCGTGGAACTGTGGACCAGCTCTATACCCTTGCAAGGGTGATGGAGGGGGCATGGGAGTTTGCCCAACCAATCCACATGTGTTTTGTGGATTTGGAGAAGGCTTATGACCGTGTCCCCAGGGCCACCATGTGGGGGACGCTCCAGGAGTATGGGGTGGGTGGCTTTCTGTTAAGGGCCATTCAGTCCCTTTACCAGAGGAGCGTGAGTCTGGTCCGCATAGCCGGTAGTAAGTTGGACCTGTTCCCGATGAGGGTTGGACTCCGCCAGGGCTGCCCTTTGTCACCGGTTCTGTTCATTACCTTTATGGACAGAATTTCTAGGCGCAGCCGTGGTGTGGAGTGTGTCGAGTTTGGTGGCAGGAGAATCTCGTCTCTGCTTTTTGCGGATGATGTGGTCCTCCTAGCTTCATCCAGCTCTGACCTTCAACTCTTGCTGGGTAGGTTTGCGGCCAAGTGTGAAGCGGCTGGGATGAGGATCAGCACCTCCAAATCTGAGACCATGGTTCTCGACCGGAAAAGGGTGGCTTGCCAACTCTGGGTCGGGGGAGAGGTCCTACCTCAAGTGGAGGAGTGTAAGTATCTCGGGGTCTTGTTCACGAGTGAGGGTAGGAGGGATCGGGAGATCGACAGGCAGATTCGTTCGGCGTCTGCAGTGATGCGGACACTGAGCCGATCTGTCGTGGGGAAGAGGGAGCTGAGCCAGAAAGCCATGCTCTCGATTTACCGGTCGATCTACGTCCCAATCCTCACCTATGGTCATGAGCTTTGGGTAATGACCGAAAGAACGAGATCGCGGATACAAGCGGCCGAAATGAGTTTCCTACGTAGGGTGGCCGGGCTCAGCCTTAGAGATAGGGTGAGGAGCTCGGACATTCGGGAGGGACTCGGAGTAGAACCGCTGCTCCTCTGGATTGAAAGGAGTCAGTTGAGGTGGTTTGGGCATCTGGTCAGGATGCCTCCTGGACGCCTCCCTGGGGAGGTGTTTCGGGCATGTCCTGCCGGCAGGAGGCCCCCGGGTCGACCCAGGACACGTTGGAGAGGTTACATCTCCAATCTGGTCCGGGAACACCTTGGGGTCCTGCCGGAGGAGCTGGTGGAGGTGGCCAGGGAGAGGACGGTCTGGAGCTCCCTAGTTGGGATGCTGCTCCCGCGACCCGGATAAGCGGAGGAAGACGACGACGAGAAAAGTCCACCCAAAACCCACGCTAAATTATTCTTACAAACAAACCCTAACCCACCAATACCCACGCTACATTATTCATACAAAGAATTTGCTTCACTTGATTAAGGATGCACAATATTTGCTTAGCTGTGGTTTTTGCTATATTGCAAAAGCCACAAAACGTAGTTTTAGTGACCACTGCATCATTTGAGATTTGGTACATAAGATCTGTGGACAAAGATAACTAAATGTGATAAATGTGTGCAAATAAAAATGCCAAAAATGTAGTGCTAGCTAGCACATGACTGAAATGACTATCTCCACTATTTTTCCAAGATTAAATGGAATTCTCATGAGGATGACGATATTAGCCATGCATATCAACTTATTGGCACAAAGCTTCGTGCAGATGTTCTGAAAACTCACTGGAAGGCCATACATTGAATATGATTGTATGGTCACACAGATACATGCAAGCACACAGACACATGCACATGCACGCGCACACACACACACTCAAATTCATGCAAGCTTACACGCACACGCACACACACACACAGTAAATTCTTTGGCTCACCATGGGTTTTTGGTGGGAGGGGCCAGGAATAGCAACCCCACTATTGGTGTTCTCTGCCTTCTTGGTAAGCTGCACATAGACTTTCCCATGGTCTTTAGAGACTAGACAGTGGTAGAGGTCATCATATTTGACCTCCAGGAAGATGCCTTCTCTGTCAACATAGTCCCCCGGCTTCAGGAAGTAAACCACCTTAGAGGAGATCAGGACGTTGTAGCTGTCCATCGGTTCCACAGCAATAAAACTAGAGATTAGAATAGGTTGTTGAGGGGCTAGAACAGGACAGTGACATTCTGATCGACACAAGAGAAGCTGAGGCTGACTTACAATTCAGACTGGATGTTATCAGTGAGGCAGAAGAGCTGTTCTTGGCCCTCCGCTTGACCCGCTGAGAAGCGAGCAAGAAGGCCCTGAGGTCCCCTACAGCAGCGGGGCTTCCTAACACGCTGCACACTGAATCTAAACAACACAATGACAACATTAACACTTCCCTCTCAGCCAGTCAGTCCGACAGTTAAAGAACTAGTCCTACCTGTGGTTACTCAGACTGGCCATATCCCGAACTGTCTGGGCCGTCTCTGAGGCAAAGTCCAGAGCTCCAGCAACAGGTTTGGTCACAGTTCCAACCAGACCCTTACCCAGACCTGAAAAAAAGCCACCGACCCCCCCCTCTGTTTTCACACCCTCCACCGTGGACGTGATGATACTCGTCATACCGCCGATAATTCCTGGTGGAGAAAAGCTTGGTCACATGTCCAAACATGAAGATAGCTTGATGTAAAAAACCCAAAAACACATTCTAGTTCAGACTGATTAGAACATCTGGACTAGGTGTCTTCTGCTGTAGTATGACTGCATGTTTTTAAACTGGTGATTAACATTAGATTACAATCTAGAAGCTCATTGACAGGAATGATGAAAATGCACTTTCAGTTGGTTTAGAACATTTAGAACGTGCAGGACTAACTAATCCATGACAAGATGGAACTGATAATTCAGTTATATCATGTGACCCGGCCAAGCTTGGTCCCGGCTGGTAAACAAACTCTGAGCTCAAAATGATCCCACTTACTTTGTGAAATCTCTGACTAACAAATAAACACAGTCAGCTAGCAGGACATCTGACTGCAACCCCTTCAGGACTTTATATGTGCAAATAAAACATTCTCAGTCACAAGGTCTTCACCATGAGCTAGTCCATGAATCCCTGCCACCAGATGCTCTCCACTGGTGGCGCCGTGGTATCTAATGTACTCCCGCTCATTCTGGTGCCGGTTGTCCATGGTCTTCCCAAGTCCATCTGACAACGTGCCTGCAAACTGACCAAAAAGATGCAGAGATACTCGACCATGGTTTTAGATCCACACTTTGAAAGAAGAAACAGCAGAAGAGACAGAGGGACTGGACAGACTCTGATATTTAACAAGTTTGTACCTTAGCAGCTGAGTTGGATACACCATGAGTCACATTGCGAATGAGACCACCCACATTGCCATACTTGATGAGCTCAGATACACCCTCTGTGACATCATTCAGTAAGCCCATTGGGTTCCCCAGGAAGTCCACCGAGCCAAGGATCTGAGCTGCTTGGCTCATCAGTTCCTATAAATCAAACATAAAAGCAGATGCAAATAAAACATCTGACAAAAGCACAGAGATTTCACTGATTTAGTCACAATAAAAACACTTTTCACCAACCTAAAAACACAGAGAACAAGAATTAATCCTTGTCCAGTTTCATGGTTTTGAAATTAAAAGCAAAAGAAGAGAGCAGGCTTTTGCAGGTCTTGGACCAAAATTATGGAACGATTTCCTGCTGCTGGTCAGGCAAGCATCATCTCTGGATGTTTCTAGGTGTAGATTAAAGACTCATAATATTCTTTAGGTTTTCTAAAGGAGTTGGGCAGAGTTTTTTTTCTGTTCATTTTAGATTCTGTCACTACACATGTCTTAAGGCTGTGGTTGGCACTAAATGCACTGATTTATTATCGTGTGACTGTTCAGTAAAACAATGTTGATTTTATATTTCAAGTCAAAGTCATTTATTGTCATTTCTACCACATGTGCAGGACATACAGAGAAACGAAATTGAGTTTCAGCACACACAATTCAAAGATCAGACATACGTGGGTAAGACACATAACAAGAATTGGTGACTGCGGTCATTCGCAACATGAGTCGCGCTACCTTAATAGATAGATGAAAAGGGTATTACATGAGGATAAGTGGGGGTAGGTAAAAAAAGGGCATAGCAGAGTTAGCCCCAGCGGGGAGTAACTCTATTATACAAAAAAACCTCCTTTAAACATGGAAGCACAAACAGCACAGATACAACATCAGAGTCCGATGGGGAGGCGGGGATGGGCGGGATCCTGAAGCCTCCAATGGGAGCTGCCACTGCGGCGCATCGACCAGCTGCAGACCAACAGGTGGGAGGGAGAGATAAGGACCAGAGAGCACATTGAAGTTTCCCGCAGACGTCTCAATCTGAAGGAAGAGGGTGAAGGTCGGGACACAGCATCTGTCGGCATTCCTCCTTTCGTGGGGGTGTGTTGAGCAGCCTTGAGAGGCTGCTATGGCGTCAGATAAGGATAAACATGACTTTGTTTAGGGCAGGCAGAGATAATTTTTCCTCTCCGCCTTGGAGTCTATAAGTGGTCATTCATGTCCACCAGTGAGCCAATTTTACGTTCTAAACATCCCCACATCGTCCGGCGACCCTCTCCGAGATCAAATCCATCTTGCGTACTATCACAGGCAATGCTGCGAGGACATTATCCAGCTTGCGGTTCACCTCGAGTAACGTCCCAGTTTGTGAGGTCACCGCCCGAGCGGCACATTCCGTGGGTATGGGTCGCACTCCAATCGCTCCCGTTTTCCCAAATTTCCAGAAAACCAGATATCCTCCCACTTCAATCAGAAGAAATCCAGTGATCATCAGGCCAAACATCCACAAATCTTCCACGTCCTCGATGGACAGCTGAGAGAGGCACACGATTCGCCAGACCTCCCAAGAATCGAGTGCATATCCCGATGCGAATGTCACCTCGGGACAGGTGGGCGCCCCCTTCTCCGTTCTCATCGTAGAAAAAATTTTGTCAATCGCGTTGAATGACCAGTTAATTAAGTCCATATTTCCAAAAAAGAGTAGTGGTTTCAGGAGAAATGCAGAGAAGTGCTCTGTAGGCAGACAGGACAAGAGCCTTGGGGAAGCCGATAAGGGAGCTGAGAAAAAAAGCGTCTGTACTCTCTGAAGGCTGAGAAGAAAATTTCCTCATCAGGTTGACACAGTGATAGTTTACTCTTGTTGTATCGTTGTGTGTCCCTTTTCTGCAGGTCTAGCAGCAGACTCTTGTTCATCATTGATTGTTTATTTTTGTGGAACACCCCCCCTTCCTTTTGTCTCTACCGTTCTCTTTCTCCTCTGACTCCGTGTCTGGTCGGAATTACAATCATTCAAAAAACAACAACAATAAGGTTTTAAGTATCAGGCGTGGCATTAAAGCAGAAGCTTTGATGCTCCACCTGAGAGTAAATCTGTAAGGCTTGTCACCAGCATTCAGACATCAGTTCTGTTTGCTTCACAGCCAGACAGGACACGGGGAGAAAACAGATTCTGTTACTGCAGGGCTAGTACACATGCATCATGCACAGTACATAGAGCACAGAGCGCCCAGGGCGGCACCAAGCAATCAGGCATTCATTTTAAGATCAGCTACTGGAAACCATGTACACCAGAGGTGGACTGGCGATCTGCGAGTTCTGGACAATCCCAAAATGGCTGGTGTGCTCTAGAGCCAGTAGTTGTGCTTCGAACTGGTGTCGGCATTCAAGCCATTTTATCAATAGTATTATTATTCATGTATATTAAAAGGGATATTCCACCCCAAGTGAAATTTTGTCTATTGTCGTAATCCCCAGAGTTGGAAGAGTGAGAAAAAAGCATTTTGTTATCTAGCGCTGAGCTAAAGCAGTCCGTCTGCTTTAGCTGAGGATAAATAATGGAAGTGAATAGCAGACATTAGCATGTTGTGTGCAAAAGTGATTAAAATAATTCAATAATAATACCAAGTATTTCTGGTGAGCTCAATAATCATGTCGACTGCAAACGAAAAGTAAGAAGTTACACGAAGGATTTGCCGGAGCCGATTTAGACATGAGACTAAATTATGACAAAGCACCGCTGTAAGCCGCCGCTCCATGGCGCATGGCGATTGGCAGCTGAAAACAAAAAATAATACGGCCACCAGCTGACTGGTTTAGATCTCTGGACTCCTCAATCACTAAATTGCTTTGGCAGGATAAACCTCCACGAATTAGCTTAAAAATGCTTCAGAAGACCAAAGACAGAAGAGGACTGGAGTTGCCCAACTTTTATAATTATTTCTTAGCCAACAGGCAAACACATTCTCACACCCAAAGCATCAAATAATGACGCGTGTGACCAAGCATCAAAATATGACGAGTAGGGAGCCCCAGCGCGTCGGGAAAGGGCGCGCTGGGACACGTGTCGTCGGGGGGTGTCAGTATCTGACGCCCGCGGTGACACGGACATTATTCCTCGAACCTTTAGCGATCTAACCTTCCCCTTACCCCTATCCTAACCTTAACTCAGTATTTTCCAATTAAGCTTCGCATGCGCACCCTAGTTAAGGTTAGAATGAGGGTGAGGGGAAGGTTAAGAAGTTCATAAGACGGTTAAATGTCCGTCTCACCGTGGGCGTCGGTATCCGATGCTCTGGGACAACGCGTCCCTGCATTATTTGATGCTTTGGGTGTAAGAATGTGTTGAACGTGCTGCAATATATACCAAGGTAGTTGCAAGATAACCCACTAGATGAGTCCTGGTTAGACAGAACAGACACTTTGCAATACGATAGAGGTTTCAGACTTATCATTTATTAGCTCAAGCATAAGAAAACATGAAGGCTTCAAAAGTATTAGTATCAGCACCTCTCTGACAGCATGGTGGGAGTATCTTAAAATGACAGAGTCTTCACTAGTACCATGCAGACGCACACCTATCTGGAATAATCCTGATATTTTGAAAAAATAACCAAATGATGAACCTTCCGGACTGGAAAAATAAAGGAATCCTATACCTGGAACACATATATGAAGGATTGGACTTCATCCCATTTAATCAAATAGTCTCCCAATTTGGAATGGATAAGAATAGCTTTTTAGAATACCACCAAATTAAATCTGTAGTCAAACAAAAATTTAAGCTCAATAAAATAGAATTACAAACACCACCAAGGGTATTAGACTTCTATAATCTCAAACCCCCCAAACTACTGTCTAAAGTATATAAGACACTGTCCAAAATAGACGATAGAATTGCAATCCCTATTGAAAAATGGGAGGTGGATCTATCAGTTAGCTTTGACCAGAACTTCTGGTCCCAAACTTGTTTAAAAACTTTTAAAATGATCAGACACCCCAATTTACAACTAATTCAGTACAAAATTCTACACAGAGTACACTATACAGGTCATCGGATGTTCAAGATGGGGTTTGTGTCGTCTGACACCTGTACACACTGCACAAACAACATTCCTGACAATTACATTCATGCACTGTGGTCCTGTCCACCTGTCCAGGAATTTAGGGGTAGAGAATGTGAAAACCTGTCAAAGTCTCTGAAATGTCATATCCCAACCACCCCCTCTCTTTGTTTACTGGGAAACCTGGACGATGTCCCGATTGAAACATCTTTGGTTCACGTGGTTCTGACTGCCATATGCGTCACTAAGAAAACTATCCTCTTGAATTGGAGAAATAGAGAAACTCTCTGCATTAACCAGTACAGAAATTTTTTTGTTAGATCATATTACACTTGATTTAGCCTCTGCTTCCACTTCAGATTAACCTCTCTGGGCTCCTTTGATCGGTTCCATCACATAGCGATGGTGGGGGATCATAGATATTGTCCTGCGGGATGATGTGGGTGATGGGGTGGAGGTCTGAGTTTGGAGTATTCGGACGTTATCTGGAGGTGGGTTCACTAGGGGTGTCTGGAACTGGGGGGCTGCTGCTGCCCCCCCTCTGGGGGGGAGGATGTCCAGGAGGGGGAGGACCCAACCTTACCTGGATGTCCTATGTCTTATATGTTCTGGAAGTTGTGCAAATGCAGGGATGGGAGTAGATATTCTGCTGGGGTGGGGCTGGGTTGGTGCCCTGAGACTCCGTGAGGCTCTGTGATGCTGCTACTTTGGGCCTTGGCAAGATGGGCTGGGGTCTCCATGCCCTGGGTGGCATTTTGGCAACAGCACCAGAGGTGCCTATTGGGGCCAGTGGGGAAGCTGTCTCCCTGGAGGGCTTAAGTCCAACCAGCCATTCCTCCCCATCCCCACACATTTTTCTCCTCCTGCTCCCTCATATGTTCACACAAACATGCACATAGGAGCTTGGGGGGTGGACAAGTCAGGGGGTGCAGGTATGGACTCCATTTCCACATTCCTGTGGAAACCAGCCCCCAATTTTATTTGCACCTAAAACACTTCCACCAACGATATTCCACACAAACACACACTTAGGGCCTTGGGAGTGAGCACATTCAACGGCACTTGGCAGGGGGATTTTTCAGCCTCATCCCGAGTGCCGGTGCCCGCTTCCAATTTTAAAGTGAACTTAGACACTGAGGGCTGTGGGTGCAAGTGGGGTGGTGTGGTGGCATCAGCTGGCATAGGCCAGACGATACCCGCAATGCCCGCTCACCACAGCCATGGAATTCACCTCATCAACACACACTAACACTGCATTGGGGCAGACGGAGGGAGACTAGGGGTCTTAGCACACCTCTGTTGTCGCTTGGCTTCCCAGGGCTGGAGGCTAGAAGGGGGATCTGGCCGTCCGGTTGGGGTCTGGGGTGGTGGGTTGCTTTGCTCAGCATTGGGCAGGGGAGCCTGCTCATCAGCACCCCAGCAGAAAGGGTCAAACTCTGGGAACCGGTAATGGTTGTACCTCATGTGCAGCAGTACCGGGACCAGAGTGAATAGGGTGTGTATGGGGAGCATGAGTGGGTGTCCGGCATGCATTTTTCTAATTCTTAGGTTCTATGTGTATGTGCGGGCATGAGGGAGGGAGTGTGTGACTATGTCTGTGTATGACTGTATATGTCAGGTGGGGACTTTGACTCCTCCCTTCTCCTGGGACTTCTTTTGATGCTATAAATCTTCGTCCCCCTGCCACACCTGGTGTGGGGTGTGGTGCCTTGATCTGCCTGAATGTTCGTGGCTCCCAGGTCAGGGGGTTTAAGATTTTTGGCACCTGCCTGATCAATCCCGGAGGCTGCCTGGTGGGATCTGGGTCCCTTGGCTCTGCTGGGTCCCCGGTGGGGGTGGTTGCCCCTGGGTCCAGGCCGCTGGATCCCGGGCTCGGCCGGCTGGGGGGTGGGAGGCTGCGGGCGGGCCTGTGGGCTTGCTGCTGATATCTCCCGGGACTCTGCCGGCTGCTGGTTGTGGCCCCCCGGGGCGATCCTCTGCGCCTCTTGAGGGGGCAGGGGCTTTTCTAGTCGCAGTCTCCTTTGGGTCCCTGTCCTCTGGGACAGCTCCTGGATCTCTGGGACTTGGAGCTCCCTCCATCTTCTACACATCTTTGGGGGGCAGATCTGTGGTCCCTCACACTCTCTATTGGACGCTCCTATAGAGAAACCTTACATAAACAAGCGTGTGTACACACACAGGTGCTCACATGGTGCTCTCAGAAGTATGGACTTGGGCACGTTCAACACAGGTCTTAAGGCTATGGTTGGCACTAAATGCACTGTGATTTATTATCGTGTGATTGTTCAGTTAAACAATGCTGATTTTATATTTCTTCATCAAGTTGACGCCGTGATAGCTTGCTCCTGATGTATTGTTGTGGGTCCCTTTTCTGCAAGTCTAGAAGCAGACTCTTGTTCATCATTGGTTGTTTATTTTTGTGGAACCTGCTGGGTTCCTTAAACAGGAAACATTTTACTGATTGGCTCATTGAACTGACCTGTATAGGAATATTTACCATGTGAAGGTCCTTGAGAAGACTCTTGTCCTGATTTGGTGCTATAGAAATAAACTTGAATTGAAGTGAACTTCCTGCCTTCACCTGGAGGGATCTCAGACTGGACGGGTCCTATCGGAACTGTCTACGGGTTCCTGATATCTGCGGTTCACTCCACCGGCAGTAACCCGCACGACCCCCCGGATTGAACGAGAACCTCCACAACAAGGGTGCGTAGACTTGGCACGACAGATTGCATCTGATGCAGTTTTTTTTTAAATAAACAACTCTCTAGTTTATAAACAAATACATTCTTTTACACCCAGATTTCACAATTTTCTCAGATACAAAGAATGGTTTTGCTAAACATCTTGCTTCCATTACATCATCTCACATCCACCACACCACATCTCATTATTCATATCTTGTCATGTATAATCATTAGTTTAGTAAAAAGAATTAAATTCATTCTATAAACTATATACTGACTCTTTCTGAATTAATACCAAGTGTTTATGGTCCCTGAAGAAGCAAAGAACCCTAGAATCTTCTGGTTAAACATTCAAAGATCAATCAGGTTGATATTTATATGGAATCATCACATCTTATTGGTCATAATTAATTTGTAGTGTCAATCCTTATCAAGTTCACTTTTACGCTACATTTTGTTGTTTTATTTCATGTTTTTTGCAGCAGACCATGGTCTCCTTTCACTTGAAACATGTCAAATGGAATATTCGATTAATCAGAAGATTCAATAGAATATTCAAATACTAAAATATCCAATAGCTGCAGTCCTATTTTAAACCAGAACAGAAAAACAAACAAACAAGAAGACACAAAAACACAACCTGCACCAAAGCGAGGTACGCCTGAGAAGGTTAAAGTTTATAAATACAACACGGTGGTGTTGTACTTGGACCAGTTCATTCAACGATCATTCCTGAACTTATTATTATTTTTGTGAACGTAAACCAAACTCGCACGTGTTTTGCCTGATGAATATTAAAGTGAGCTCTCATTCTGGCGTGTGAACGGGTTTATGAATGGAGCTCTAACACAGTTAGAGAGCTCCAGATGTCCACGGAGCTAAAGCCTTAGCTAAAACATCCTGTTAACCATACAGTTTATAAAAATCTATCATACACAGTAGTGATCGGTGTGGTGTCTACCCTTCTGTGTCTATGCTGCTGTAATGAACAAATCTACACTAATTTGAATAAAAGAAAATGTTCTTTTCAAAATTACACTGACAATGTCTGAAGATATTTCAGAATCAGTTTTATAGTAAAGTACATGAGTTAAGCCTGGTTCATGCTTCTCCGTCAGCTACGCAAGGGACAGACAAGCACGGGTTGAAGGAAGCGTTTTACTCTCATACTTCTCCGTCTCCTGGAGAGTGTTGCAAAGCAATTGCCCGGCAGGACAGCAGAGGGCGTAGCGCTGTTCTGTGGTATCCTGTCATGTATCGGCCCAAAATAGTGTGTTTATATTGTGTTTTGTGTATATAAGAGACTTTTTAACACGGACATATTTGTCTCTCATTCTCCCACCTCTTCATGCGCTCCCCACCTCTAAACCCACGTTTCCTGACGTTTCCGTCCACAAATAAAATGCTTGCTGCGCATTTTTTCACTCCTCCAGTCACGGGAGAATTAAACGTTCATATTTTTAGAGTTTTTTTGCGAGGTATTCTTCAAGCTTCTCCGTGTCTGCCGCTAGTTATCCTCGGCTCTCTTTGCAATGGCGGCGCTGTAAACAACAGCGGCGTCCTGACCAATCACAAGCTTGCGTAATCCGTCTCGTTCGACGGATGTTTAAAAAAGTGGGCTCGACTCCGTACGTACTTGCGTGCCTGCCGGAGCCCTACGCAAGGACGGATAATGGCGTTGCGTGTCTCCGCACTGACGCAGACGGAGAAGCATGAATCAGGCTTCAGAGTCACGCTACCAGGAATCTGCTTTGGTGGTTGTTATTGTGTTTTAATTATATGCACTACTGGTGTTTGTCAGTGTGTTAAAGTAATTATAAGAACTACTTTTGGTTTTCAGAGATTGTAACACGTTTTTTTATGCTGGTGCTACAACCTTTTGTTCTGTGCTACAAAACCTACAACCTTCACTAGAAGCTACAAATGTTAACGTACAGCCCTGCCATGTCCAACATTGTTGCCTTGTTTTAACTTCTGTGTAGCATACAAATAACTTTGCATGTGTACATATCAGCTCATGCTACTTTTATGTCGGGTCACCAATCTGCTATGATGAGCCCACACACTATAGTCATTTCTCAGTTGTAATAGTAAAACCACCCAAACTGTAGAGCAGAGTAAAGCCACTCTGTGAAGTGGAAAACCCACATATTTACGGACAATGTCTGCAAGGGTACGGTTTACAACAACACGTTTTAAAGAAAAATCCATACCATGGTAAGTATACGGGATACACTGAACCCTCTGGAGACCCTCCATCAGGGTCAGAACATCACCTTGAGTATCTTTTAAATAAGAGGAGTCTACCTTGTTACCATCTCAAGAATCAGACTCAAGATATCGTCTGGCTGTTTTTGGATAAACTGGTTTGAATATTTTTCATAGGAGGCCAGATTGACCATCATCTTAGTGTGAGTGCAACCTCAACCATCCATGTGGGAAAACATAATCTGCTTAACCTTTTCAACCAATTTAGCAGAAAAGGGTTGCATTTCATTTAGACGATGTTCGGCTTGTAAGAATTTTAACAAAACCAGCATACACAGCAGAAGAAGTGGAAGGCAGGCTTCATTAACACACTTAAGCTGCTTACATGTCTGGGTCAGTACGGTCAGGGGTGGATCGCATTGATTGGGTCTCATACGAGTGGTTTTTGCTCACAAATGTTTCCCAAGAACTTCTCAGGAATGTTAAAATCTCTCAGCATGTGGGTGGCATTAATAATGTGCGAGAAAATCTGTGATGTCTTCCGTAAGATAAAGGTGGGCATGAGCTGTGCTGCATTTTGGAGTTCTGAACCACATTATTTTATTAATTTGCTCCCACGCTCTGACACACACACTTTATTATATTATATATGTATTTTAAACGTTATTTAATCTTCTTTTTTCAGAGGTGGTAGGCATGAATTTCAGCTGGCCAATCAGCCCCTAATATGCAGGCAGGGCCACACCCTGGCTGAATCTCCGGGGACGAGGTCAGGGAAAAGAGGGTTAGGACGGACAGGAAAACGCAACGATGACCCAGATTAGAAACAAAACGTACCCTTTCAAGACTGGTCCATGCCGACCCAGATGTAAAAGTGGCTTTACTAGATGTAAAAGGCTTTAAAAGATGCCCAGAATAGGACTATCATAGGACTGCAAGCTCCAAATGTGATGCGTTGACTGACCTCTCTGAAGTGTTTGAGGATGTCGTTGATGATGATTTCCTGAGTCTCATAGGGGTGCACTCTGGTGAATGGATACATGTTGATGATGGCATCTTCAAAACGAACCAGAGGGAAGCCCAAAGTGCCTTTCAGAGCCTGCGGAAATAACCACTTATTCATATGGGTCAGTAGAAACCAGTCTAACAGCTTTGCTCCTCTAAACCTTTAGTCTCTACGACTACATGTAAGCATCTCTTACGCAGACAAAGCTTCATTTTGCTTCCCAGATCAAAAATCTAAGTAAATGTTGACAGAAATACATATAAACATAAACAAAGTTACAATCAAGCCCCCACAATGCGGCTCAAAAATTGAAGCAATCCCGGAAGTACTAAAAATTGCAGTTCCACCCTCATCCACTAGGGGCTGGTGTCAGAAGCGAGCAAATCCTCATTGACTCCCATGTTAAAAATACCAATTTCACAGCAGAAATAAACATGTTTACAGTCTCCACTTCATGTTTTTCGGTAAGTAAAATTATATTTATGTATTTTAGGTCACTGCAGGAGCTGAGCTTAGATTTTAACATGTACTGTTTAACCATGAAATTTAAATGTAATAGGGTAAAACCCAGTGCATTTAACATAATGCTGCACTTTAGAACATGGGTTGAAATATAACATGTTGGTGGAGCTGGGTTCCCACTATCGGCTTGTGGAGCTCTCGGAGACCTCTGTGTTCCACCCGGTTCTCCCCAGCGGTCAGCCCGGCGTATCTCTGACTCAGAAGCTCTGGTGTTGTGCACAGTTAACTCCGGTTGTAGCTAGGTTGCTACCTCCGTTAGCTTAGCTCCCAACTCCGCGTTAGCTTTGGGTTAGCTTCAGGTTAGCTTGTAGCTAGTTCGACCGGGTGTCGTCAGTTGACCCCAGCCTTACAGCCCCACCCTCAGCTCCACCTCTCTTCCCTTTTGTGGAATTGTCTGGGCTTGACAGAGCCTGTGACACGGTCAAAATGGCGGTTACTCTAAACCAAAGAACAGCAGCATGAGGTGTTTTAATAGATCTGTCTGAGAATCAGTCTGTCCACCCACAGCCTCCCATAACATCAGATTTCACACAATGTCCCCGCCTTCGCCATTCCTCACATGGCCCCGCCCCAACAACACGTTCTCCTGCCAGCGTGCCGACAGCACACTTCAACCTGCGCATTGAAACGAACACTTGGGATAACTCCTTGAACCTTTTGCACAGCCTATAGGAAAATCTTTCATAGGCATGGCTGACATCTCAATCCCTATTACAATCCATTTCCATCGTTTTATTTTTAAAAATCGTGAAGATTTTGTCAATTAAGTCATGTGCTGTATGGGACAGCAGTAGGTCAGGAAGTGGAGCGGGTTTTCCAGTAATCGGAACGTTGTGTGTTCGATCCCGACTCTGACCAGAGAATGCTGCCTCATCTCTCAGTGCTCCCCAAGGCAGCTGTGGCTACAGTGAATGTCATGCCCACCAGTGTGTGACTGTGTGTGTGAATGGTGACAGACTGATTGTGTTGTAAAGTGCCTTGAGGGATTGTAGAACCCTACAAAAGCCCTATACAAATACAGGATATTTACCATTTACCATTTCAATATTACTGACAATGTTTATTAAATTCATTAAAAAAAAATTTTTTTTAAAAACATTTCAAAAATATTCTTGGATCATCATGGGGTCATGAGAAATCAGTCATGAAGGCTAGGCCTGTCCAAATTCACAGCCGTTAACATCCGGTCTACCCAGCCCACGTCGGCGGGGTGGGCTGGGTCCTTCGAAGGATGCAGACCCTGAATTGAGACACAGCCATAGTGTCATTAGCCCAATTTGCAATATTTCTGCAAAGTTCTTCATTACAATAACTTATCTTCATCGATAGATCATAAATCCCAAGTTTGAAGTTGATTCGACTAAAAATGACGAATTGGTGATAAAAATAGTTTTAGTGTTTTCTGTGATTTTGCCAAAACTCTAGTTAGGCGGAAATGGGCGTGGCCAAACACAAAAAAGATGCAGAATGATCCAAGGATCAAGAACATTCAAACGTTATTGAAGGTAAGGCCTATGGTTTGGGAGTTATTAGCTAACACATATCGACCTTCACAATAGCGCCATCTAGTGTTTTCTGGGTCTGAATTTTTGAATCTGAGTAGCGGTCCGGATTTTCTATCAGACTGCCATGTTAGATTTTTCCTGGCATTTTCTGGCTCCTGTGCCCATATAGTTTTAGCAGAGAAGAATAATAATGAAAAATCCGTACAAAAACAATAGGGTTCCCTGCCCGTTGGGCTTGGAACCCTAATATAAAGGGCTGGACATAATAATGGGCCTTCAGACAAGACTTCAGGAGGGAAGGCCCCTGCCTAACAGTCAAAGGGTGACCTTTCCACAGAGTTGGAGCCAAGTGTGAAGGTCTGAGGTGAGCTCATCCTCTAATCAGCCTCTAGCAGCCATTCCAGGTGAGCGGTGTCTGAACGGGACCAACTGCAGCAGATCCATTGTCAGCCACTGCTGGCTTACAAGGAGGCGGGAGACCACTGCTCAACGCTGGTTGATTACTCCACATGGGTATCTCCTAGTTGGACTTTCTCTTGCCACTTTGATAACCAACTCTAGTCTCTAGTTAACCCTAAGTTTAGTTACATTACCTGTTAACCCTACCTGATGTTTGCTTCTTGTTTTCTTCAGATCCTGCTCAACTTCTCACCCCCAGCCAAACTCCTGGACCTCTCTCACCAGCCTGCGTCTCCCTTCATGTAGTCCCGCTCACCACCGCTCATCCACCCTCCCTGGAGCCCGCTACCTCAGACCTGACAACCACTTTCCATGCAACTTCCTCCTCCTCCTCCATCAATGTACCAAACCTCCAACTAACCCTGATTCTGCTTACTGACCAGGTCCTGCCCTCCCTGCATTGCCCAGTTTGGGACACCCATAGTTGCTCATCGTTTCAAGAAAACCTTCATTCTTATTTACATCGGTTTGCTGTGTTGATTCTGCATGTCATGCATGTCAAGCACTCAAACCGCAACATGACACCAAAAGTGCAAACGCACGATCTCCTTGATCTACACCTGGAGCGAGGGACCACCAACAAATCCTGGTCAGCTGAACGTTGGAGTGAGTGTGGACAAGTCTTTGAAGTAAAGCTGATATCGGCATGATTCTGTGTTACCTTGAGGTCTGCAGGCAGCTTGTGTGAAGTGAAGACACTGAGTTTGATCTGAGGAAAACTGATCTTCAAATTCTCAAAGTAGTAGCGTTGAGGAGGTCCTGCTTCCTCATTGGGTCTCTCATGCAGGTTTTCATCCAGTTTCTCCAGCTCTGTATTTATAACAGGTGAAGAAGTTTACAAGCAAGCATATAAGCAAATATTACCAGAGATCAAAAATGGAGACCCACCTGCCTCTGCCTCTCCATAACCAAAGAAGCTGAGTAGCTTGAGCAACAGCTTCTCCTCGATGATGACGGTAAAGTGGCGGGCGGTCACCATGAGATGCTGAGAGCACATTTCATTATTAGTAACAGCATTCGGAGTAGGACGGGCTAAATGTGGTCATTCCAACATAAAAAATCTTCCTGCAGTTCTGTGGTGACAAAGGCCAATCAAAACTTTAGCTAGCGTTCTAACAAATCGTAGGCAAAGCGTGAAGATTCGGTAAATCCATGCTATAACCGGCTGTTGCGAGTAAAAGCCTTCACTTGTGATTTAGTTTGAATTGGTACGAGCAACAGTCCTGAGACAAACAGTGGCGGACTGGCCATCTGTGAGTTCTGGAGAATTCCAGAATGGCCAGTGTGCTCTAGGGCCGGTGTCGACCTTTCACCTTTCCCCCATCCGTCGGAGACCCCATAATAGAGCAGCAGATACATCCAGCCTCCCTCTCAAGTGGGCCAGTACGGCCATTTGTTTATTTATTTGTCAAAACCTCCTTGATTTCTGATCAAATCCCTCCCCGTCCTCAATCACCAGCTAGCCAGTGTCCCCCAGCGTGACCCCGGCCCCTCCCGATATGCAGGACTCGTGTTTTGTGCAGACGCTATGCCCAGAGCCGCCGTACTACTCTTGGCATGGGTCTGGCTGTGTGCCAGCATTGCTCGGACGACACTTCTGCATTAGTCCTGCCAGCTGACCCTCCCCAGACCCCAACAACAACTCTCTCTGTGAGGGGATACCAGATGTGTACGTTGATGGCAGCTCCTTTCGACGCACTGCTGAGCTGAGTTCAGGCGTGGGTGACGTTTGGGTGAAAGCTGACCAGAAAGACTCCTGGTGCTACCAGTTGGGCCCCCAGACCTCACAGTTGCCAGAAGAAGCTGGGATCCTAACAGTCCTGAAACTTGCTGCTGATGGCGGTGCACAGGGTGATCTGCACCGACTCGGACTATGCTTGGCTCAGCTTCACCTGCCATCTGCCCTATTGGAAAAGTAACGAGTTCTTGCCCTCCAACCGGAAGCCTGTTAAATATCGAGACCTTTTCATGGCACGTACGTATTTACGCCCCGACCCCCAATTTGGGAACCCGTATATTGGACCAATAATTACAATAGTAATACTCAAAAACACAGGCCTACCACGTGAGCCTTTAGAGCACCTATAGTCAATAATGCCCATTTTTGTCCTTCTTTACTTTTGATTTGGATATTAGCTTGTTTTATAGCTCGAGTTTTCAGTCTTCATCAGAGGTAGAAAGAGTACTCAAATGTCCTACTTTTCCTACCAATAATTTGATGATTTTTTACTTAAGTGGCGGTGGCACAGGAGTTAAGTACTCCTTAAGCCCTGTAATCAGAAGGTTGCAGGTTTGAGCCCCACTCAGTCTGTCACTGCTGTCGTGTCCTTGGGCAAGACACTTAACCCCCCTTGTCTGCTGGTGGTGGTCGGGGGGACCGGTGGCGCCAGTGCTCGGCAGCCTCGCCTCTGTCAGTGTGCCCCAGGGCAGCTGTAGCTACATGGTAGCTCATCGCCATCAGTGTGTGAATGGGTGAATGACTGGTTGTGTTGTAAAGCACCTTAGGGGGTTCCAGGACTCTAGAAGGCGCTATATCAAATACAGACCATTTACCAAGCACAAGTACAAGCCCTATTTAAGTTTGATGATTATTATTATTATTAAGTGAAACTACTTGCTCAACTTATTATTCAAGTATCATAAATACAATTTTCTCAAAGTAAAAGTTACCTAGTTACTTTTTTGTCAGCGTAAGGCTGGCTACATCTAAGTAGTGCTAAATCACAATGCCAGCTCACAACCAAATATGAGGTTCAGGAGTGATACTGGTGAGTCTGTTGGAGGAAATTCACTCATTCATGAGACAGCTGGTGAAAATGATGGGTAGATAATTCAGAGTTCAGCCAGGGACAACTCAAATTTAGACAATTGTCATTTTAGCTCAACAGATTTAGCAGCTTGTGTAACTAAATGGGATCCATTGAGTATGAAGAATGGGCTAAAATTCCATATTTATGTTTGCCTCGCTGACTGTTCACTGCCTGCTCCATGGCATCAGTTTATGCTGAGGCCTGTGCTACTGCAGGGAAAAGCTTGCATACATACCTGTACTGATGCATCACCCATAGTTAAACTGTCTGTATTTGGAGCTCACTGATGTAAGTTGTCATTCTCCAATGAGCACTAAAATCTAAATACTACTCTCAATTTGGAAAGTGTGAAGATGGTGTGATTAACCTTGAAGAGTGTTGTGAGCATAAGGCTGCTGGGAACCTTGACGGAGTTGACCTGCAGTGCCGGGCTGCTGTTGTTGGTTCCGCTGTCACCAGAAGATGGAGTCATCCACAGGATCACAGGCTGGGTGGTGCCCAGCAGCTGGTTGTCCACCTGGAGATACATCACACATCAGAGACAGGGGTGGACTGGCCATCTGGCCTACCGGGCATGTGGGCCGGTCCAGTCCGGTTTGGACAGACCAACCTACTTTGTTAAAAATGTTGCTGTGGGTATCTGCTTTTAGGTTTGATTAGCTTTATACCCGACTCATTACTTTGATTCTCTTTTACTTTTCTTTATATTTTAAAATTAAGTTTTTTTAATAGGGTTTTATGTTTATTACTTATTTTACTTCAATTTTATAACTTAACTTTTACGTTTGATACCGTTTTTACTTATGCACTCAAGAAAGTATAACAACAAAATCCCTAAAAGATTTAGGATTTTTTAGCTATTTGCTTTGTTTTCCCCAAGCCCCCACAATGTGGCTCTGAAATTGGTCTCAACCCGGAAGTACCAAAAATTGCAGTTCCACCCTCATCCACTAGGGGCTGGTATCAGAAGCGAGCAAATCCTCATTGACTCCCATGTTAAAAATACCAATTTCACAGCAGAAATAAACATGTTTACAGCCTGGTACCAAAACATGTTTTTGGTTTAAATGATCTAGTTTACACTCATGACAACTCTGAGGGGGGTGAATGTTTTTCTCACTCTTCTGTTTAAGTGTATTAAAAGCCTAAAATTCTGTATAATTAATGAGCATCAGACCCACGTGACCACAGAGCTAGCTCCGTGGAAAGGCCTCAGTAGAGCCTCGGTCTGGCCTGGAAACTGCTCCGGGATTTTGAGTCTCTGTGTGTGTGGATTCTTGTTTGGATATTATTTGTGCAATTGTTAGACAAAATGACTTGCTGTGGCATTAATTGCACTAATAGAGCGTCCAAGGAGTCTCCACTTCATGTTTTTCGGTAAGTAAAATTATATTTATGCATTTTAGGTCACTGCCGAGCTGAGCTTAGATGTTAACATGTACTGTTTAACCATGAAATTTAAATGTAATAGGGTAAAACCCAGTGCATTTAACATAATGCTGCACTTTAGAAAATGGGTTGAAATATAACATGTTGGTGGAGCTGGGTTCCCACTATCGGCTTGTGGAGCTCTCGGGAGACCGATGTTTTCCACCCGGTTTTACCCAGCGGTCAGCCCGGCGTATCTCTGACTCAGAAGCTCTGGTGTTGTGCACAGTTAACTCCGGTTGTAGCTAGGTTGCTACCTCCGTTAGCTTAGCTCCCACCTCCGCGTTAGCTTTGGGTTAGCATCAGGTTAGCTTGTAGCTAGTTCGACTGGGTGTCGTCAGTTGATCCCAGCCTTACAGCCCCACCCTCAGCTCCACCTGCACAAGCTTATGGACCTGCTGTTCCACTCTGTGGTGGTGGATCCTCTCCCATATCAGGAGTACTCGGACAAAGTTCCTGTTCCAGAACCTCTCTTGGCCCAGTTCCAAAGACCAGACAAACGGGATGCTGTGAGCAGGCACAGGTCCAGGTTGTAAAGTGCACGTAAGGCGAGCTACACAACAAGAAATTGTAATTATTAGTTAGTATTCTACTCTGTGTGGTTTTTCCTTCTCTCCTCCTCAGCCACCATCATCTCATCTGGCAGGAGAACAAAAACAGCTGGTGGCCAATCACTCATCTGTATTTTGTTGTTTTCCAATAAAGAATGAGTAATTATTTAAGTTTATGTTTTTTTAGCACACAAATATATCTGTAAAAAGTATCTACAAAGCTAATATTTACATAAGTATGATTCGGTTTAGCAATACAGCACTCTGTTTATTTTAGTAAGATTTTTAAACCAAGTAAAGTTAGTGAAGAACACATTTCTATTGGCTGCTAAGAAACTGTTGGACTTAAAACAGGCCTGTTGTAGAAACAAGTTGGCATAAATGATTCTTCCTTTTTTGTCTTAACCAAAGAAATTCCAGTAATTGAGCAAAAACATTTATTTTTTACGTCACATTTTATAAAATAACAGGACACAAAGTGTCGGGACATTTAAAAAATACTTAAAATAATAAAAGGGGCCCAGAGAGCTGCAGAGTGAGTGGAACATTGGGTTGTGAAGGAAGAACAGTTCTCAACAGTGTGATATGAGGGTGTAGAAGGTGAAGCCGGTGCAGGTCCTCCTTCATGTTCACCAGATTCACACTGCTGACCACCCCCATGTCATTGCCGCCACAGTGGATGAGAAGAACATCAGGAGCTGCTCTTCCATGCATGGAGTTGAAAAAGAAGGGGAGAAGGTCTTTCCACCTCAGTCCGCCCCAACCGAACCAGGAGACACGGACGTCAGGGAGGCCAAGGTTGTGTCAGAGGGTCTCTGCAGCTCTCTGGGCACCACGCCTCACTCAGCTGTCACCGATGATCCAAATGGCTATGGAGAAAAAAATAACAGGTTTGGCCTAGCTGTTTAAAGTACAAAACCATACATGAAGTGGTGAAGACAGGTACTTGGTACCTACACTTGCTGCGTTGTGTAGCTGATGTTGGAGACACACAGGCTGCCATGGTGACCTTTAAACAGATCTAAGAAAAAAATGTAATAAAAGAATGAAACTTAAAAACTCCCAGACCTCATGTCATATTTACTAATCAGCTATGGCTGATTTATTGTTTGGATCACAGTGAGTTACACTAATTCTAATATATTTTTATTTCTATTATACATACATACTTTTTAACTGTTATTTTCACATGACTGTTATCAGGCTCTCTTGTTCTGGTTCTCATGATAATAATTCTGTGTCTTCCAGTAAGTTATCTTGTGCTTACTTCATCTGTATAATGTCTCTTTACTTTTGGTGAATTGTACTGAGTCCAGAATAAAGACTAGTTGGCTGTACAAGATACAAACAAGTACAGTGGGGCAAAAAAGTATTTAGTCAGCCACCGATTGTGCAAGTTCTCCCACTTAAAATGATGACAGAGGTCAGTAATTTACATCATATGTACACTTCAACTGTGAGAGACAGAATGTGAAAAAAAAATCCATGAATCCACATGGCAGGATTTTTAAAGAATTTATTTGTAAATCGGGGTGGAAAATAAGTATTTGGTCAATAACAAAAATTCAACTCAATACTTTGTAACATAACCTTTGTTGGCAATAACAGAGGTCAAACGATTACTATAGGTCTTTACCAGGTTTGCACACACAGTAGCTGGTATTTTGGCCCATTCCTCCATGCAGATCTTCTCGAGAGCAGTGATGTTTTGGGGCTGTCGCCGAGCAACACGGACTTTCAACTCCCTCCACAGATTTTCTATGGGGTTGAGGTCTGGAGACTGGCTAGGCCACTCCAGGACTTTCAAATGCTTCTTACGGAGCCACTCCTTTGTTGCCCGGGCGGTGTGTTTGGGGTCATTGTCATGTTGGAAGACCCAGCCACGTTTCATCTTCAAAGCTCTCACTGATGGAAGGAGGTTTTGGCTCATAATCTCATGATACATGGCCCCATTAATTCTGTCCTTAACACGGATCAGTCGTCCTGTTCCCTTAGCAGAAAAACAGCCCCAAAGCATGATGTTCCCACCCCCATGCTTCACAGTAGGTATGGTGTACTTGGGATGCAACTCAGTATTCTTCTTCCTCCAAACACGACGAGTTGAGTTTATACCAGAAAGTTCTACTTTGGTTTCATCTGACCACATGACATTCTCCCAATCCTCTGCTGTATCATCCATGTGCTCTCTGGCAAACTTCAGACGGGCCTGGACATGCACTGGCTTCAGCAGCGGAACACGTCTGGCACTGCAGGATTTGATTCCCTGCCGTTGTAGTGTGTTACTGATGGTGACCTTTGTTACTGTGGTCCCAGCTCTCTGCAGGTCATTCACCAGGTCCCCCCGTGTGGTTCTGGGATTCTTGCTCACCGTTCTCATGATCATTTTGACCCCACGGGATGAGATCTTGCGTGGAGCCCCAGATCGAGGGAGATTATCAGTGGTCTTGTATGTCTTCCATTTTCTGATAATTGCTCCCACAGTTGATTTTTTCACACCAAGCTGCTTGCCTATTGTAGATTCACTCTTCCCAGTCTGGTGCAGGTCTACAATTCTTTTCCTGGTGTCCTTCGAAAGCTCTTTGGTCTTGGCCATAGTGGAGTTTGGAGTCTGACTGTTTGAGGCTGTGGACAGGTGTCTTTTATACAGATAATGAGTTCAAACAGGTGCCATTAATACAGGTAACGAGTGGAGGACAGAAAAGCTTCTTAAAGAAGACGTTACAGGTCTGTGAGAGCCAGAGATTTTCCTTGTTTCAAGTGACCAAATACTTACTTTTCACCCTGATTTACAAATAAATTCTTTAAAAATCCTGCCATGTGAATTCATGGATTTTTTTTCACATTCTGTCTCACAGTTGAAGTGTACCTATGATGTAAATTACTGACCTCTGTCATCATTTTAAGTGGGAGAACTTGCACAATCGGTGGCTGACTAAATACTTTTTTGACCCACTGTATTACGTTTTGGAAATATATGAAATGTATTTAGCCTGCTAATTTATCTCAAATACTAATAACTACCGTATTTTCCGGACTATAAATCGCACTTTTTTTTCATAGTCTGGCCGGTCCTGCTACTCCGGAGCGACTTATATAACAAAACATGTAGGCTACACCGCGCTGCTGCAGCCCGACTCCGACCCAAAAATGAGTTCCCCTGTCCCGCTGGGAGGGTTTCAAACACCGCCTTCCTCTGCTGGAGACCGTGGCGCGCTGCTGCGGCGCATTATTCGGTTATTGTTACCGGTACTTGTCTTTCAATGTGAAACGCTTGGTCTCAGATTTTGTAAGAAAAATAAAATTTCCCCCAAAATACGACTTGTATATGTTTTTTTCTTCTTCATTATACATTTAATGGCTGGTGCGACTCAGGAGCGACTTACAGTCCGGAAAATAGCTAGGTACGTTAAAAATAGTGAAAACTTTCTCAAAGCAAAATATATTTTCATTACAGAAATAACTTATAAACTTACCGATTTAATATTGTTTATTCACAGAAAGGTACTTCTCATGAAAAAGCGCCGCAAACCTCCACCTGAACTCCATGCGGTCGATGGGTGTTCCACAGAGTTAGCTTTGGTTGTAGCTAGGTGGTTACATCCGTTAGCTTGGCTCCTACCTCCGCGTTAGCTCTGGGTTAGCCAGGGTTAGCTTCAGGTTAGCTTGTAGCTAGTTGGACAGGGTGTCGTCAGTTGATCCCAGCCTTACAGCCCCACCCTCAGCTCCACCTCTCTTCCCTTATTTGGAATTGTCTGGGCTTGACGGAACCTGTGACACGGTCAAAATGGCGGTGGTGGCCACCTCCCATTTGGCCTCAAAAACGTGTTATTGGAGCCTATGGAAAGGAGATGTCCAGTATATTTATGTCGGTGGTTTTACCTCTTTGCTTGTTGGATGATATTTTGCTATAAAAAGATACTGCATGTCATTAAAAGAGTTTGCCCTAAAGGCAACTTATAAAAGGCCATCACCCCCTTAAGTTTTTCTTTAACACAAATAGTTTAGACAGTTAGCACCTGAATTTCCTTCTCATAAGGGAGATCTCAGGCTGGGATCACATAGAACTATTTTTTTCTTTTTAAAGCCCTTAGCATCAGCTGGAATCAACAGATTTGGTGAAATATCTGGTCTGTTGTAGCCCTGATCTTAAGAGGACACCTGCAATAGATTCCACGATACCTCCAGGTGCAACCTTGTGTGGCCTAGGATTCTCTAAGTGTGGGTCCAGAGTCCTAGAAAGTGTAGAGGAGGCTCCTCCTGGCCAACACGCTACACTGAATCTAGTTGCATGTAGCAAAGGTAAGCCTTAGCGAGGGCCTCTACTAAGGGGGGGTGGGGTGATGTGGAATAAAAAAATTATATCACTATTTTGTTTTTGTAAAATCACGATCAAGATAGTTTTCTGTTTCAACAGTTCAGCCATTTTGGTAGTTACTTACCAGTAAAAAAAAAACGTCCGTCCATCCATCCATCTATCTGTATGTCTGCCCGCCCGTGATCAACGCTTTTCAGAGCTGATCACACCAGCTGTCTGTGTGCAGCACCGCCCCCTCCCCCCACCCAGATATAAACAAACGTGTCTGCTGAACTTTTACTCCGTAACGTAAACGTTAACTCCTGCAGCGTAGAGGAAACGTGTTAAATACGTCAACACGGTGGATTTAATAGAAGCTTAAAGAACAAACTCTGGACGGTGTGAGGTGAGTTTGTCTCACTGCAGAAATAACAACACACACGGAGCGTCAGCAGTCAGACGCAGCCGCTCACCAACACTCGTGTGTGTGTGTGTGTGTGTGTGTGTGTGTGTGTGTGTGCGTGCATGCGTGTGTGTGTGTGTGTGTGTGTGTGTGAGCGTCAGAAGGCTGAACAATAACCTGTAGAATAATTAAAGTCATCATGCTAGAGCAGCTTCTCTGTGGTGGACCACACCAGCTTCTGCCACCATAAATAATAATAATAATAATAATAAATAACATTTTAATTTCCTTTCTGAACTGTTTCTGTTGAGTTTTAATGTTTAAACCTGTTAGCTTGTTACTGACAGCAGCTACGTTTAAGCTCCACTTCCTGTTGTGACTGAAGCTGCTGCAGCATGGAGGTGTAGTTCTCAGTCATCCTGGACATGATCATCCTGAGAGTTTTAGCTGGAAACAGCTGGACGTTTCTGGATATGTTGGAGACATTTAGCCTCTCATCCCAGAGGCTGCTTCCACACTTTGGTTGTGGTCAGAAACAAACACACTGGTTGTGCTGCAAGTCGTCTTCTTTTGTCTCCTAAACATGTTTTTGTTTAAATGAAGGTGATGTTGTTGTTCATAGAGTTAAAATTCATGTTGAAGTTATGATTAGTTCATCCAGTAGGACCTGTGGTTAGCTGGCTCACGTAAAATATTTCATGTCTTGAAAGAATCGGAATCGGGAATCGATAGGAACTGGAGTCGAAATGAGGAATTGGAATCGTTCAAGATCAAACGATGCCCAACCCTAATCATCTGTCTATCTAACCACAGTTGAGTGCTAGAGGTACATGTCTCAAATGTCCCACAGACACTTTCATTTAATTATATTTTTATAATGAATGTAAAATAATTTTGATTTCATCTAGAGGAGGCTCATATCCTGTCACCTACGCTATTACCAGTAATTATTACTTGTCCAGTAGCAACATCTATCATGTTAATGTAAATAATCCTCATCTCCTGCATTCTCCTCTCAGGATTACACTTCCTGTTACACTCCCGCTGTTTGTGCCTCGTCATGGTGACGTGTGGGGAAATAGCAATTTAATCTTTTCCTAAAATCCAGAGGTTTCACCTAACAAAAGCATTTTCATCTTCCTACAAGAGTCCATCTGGAACCACTACCGGTCATCCTAGACTCCTACCGAGCATGAGCGCAGCCTTAGCGTTGGTAAAGCTACGACACACACACACACACACACACAAAGGTTGATACGAAGATCCACATATTTCAACAATAGACTCTCCTGAGACCGCTGAAAGGGTTAGGGTTAACCCTTTCTGGATCACCGCCAACACAACAAGATGAGCTAGCCAGCGGCTGCAGCTTCAGCCCAGTCAGGAAACCTTATTCTGGTAAGCTACCGATTACATTTATATCAACATGTGCATGCAGCAGTAAGACTGGCAGCAAACTGCTGAATTCATCTGAAGATTATTGAATGACACTAGCATGGCCCGATGAGGCTCGCAGAGCTGGCTGCTATGTGAACTTGTACTCGTCCACAGTTGAAGCAGATAAATGACTACGGTTCTGGGCATGTTCACCATCTTTCCACGTAGGCTTTGCCATCAGCGTCCAGAACAGTTTGCATGTTGTCTGTCTTGAATATGTCCAGCTGTGCTTGCACCTTGGTGGCTAACCGGCCTGCGGCTCATCTCAGTCAGGCAGGTGAGGGGACCTTATGGCATCCCTCTGATATCCATCCCCAGAAACAGTCTAGCAGAGGTTTCACGAGCTACATCTGACTGATGACACTGTCCTCCGCTGTGTTGCTAATTGTATGTATGCTAGCTGTTGGGGTGGACTTTGATCAGCTGCCCCGGGCTTAGACTGGAAACTATTTTCTGTTTCTGCTACTTTATTTAAAACATCACATTTCAGCTGTGAGAACCACAAACCTTTTACATCGGAGCTTTTAACCTTCGCACATTGTCTGGTGTATTTTTATTCTTTTTGAGGGGTACATCACTGATCCCCTGCTAAGGGTTAAACCTTAAACCCTGTTTAACCCCCCTGTCCTGGCGGTGGAAGGGTTAATACTTTTTTGTGTACACATGCATTCATCTTTAAGAAGAAACCCGACGGATCCGCTCGGAGACGGATGGTGTACTGGAATGTGACTCATTTCTTTTTATCCCTCCTCCTCACTAGGATGATGGAGCTCAGAGCACCTTACACCAGCCTGACTGGCTGGTGCCCCCCTGGCCACCTGGTGGCCTGTGCATGATTTGTGATGCGGAGCACGGGCGCGAAGAGCTGAAAATGCATTTCTAACTACAAAAACCCCTAAAGTACTCATGTGCGTTGCGGACACTGGGCAGAAGCTGTATGCAACCCATTAAACTTTCTTCCTAAAAAATAAGTTTTTGTGAGAAGAACTGAAGTTTCGATCAAGCGACCCACCTGGATGTTCTGGATGTTCAGCTCCAGAACCTCACTGGAAGCAGTGTGAGTGAAGTGGACGTTCACACCAGACAGTGTGGTGAAAATAAGTTCCTCAGGAACCTTGTTGACCAAAGATACACCCAGACCCTCATCCAAGTTCACAAGCACCTGTCCATGGAAACAAAAAGGACACTGGTCTTAGTGGTAGAGACGGTGGGAGACTTTCTGACAGCAAATGTTGGCCAAAGCTGCTAAGAGACTCATCTATATTAGAGCCGTGCCAACTGATGGGAAGACTGCATGATGAATAAGGAGGCAGACCAAACCACTGTTAGAAATCAAAAGTCCATTCTCTTATGTCTAGGGTTGTTGTGGGAAGCAGCACGGTTCAGAGTAGCATGTAGGTTAAAGAACGCACACTACTGGGACCCAATGGAACCCGTACTTTATTATGGATAAAACCAGGAAACATCACTGTAGACGTGTTCTTACAGCAAATGTGTCTGACCGCTTCAGGTTTGGTAAAACATGACGCTGAACTTGTTGAGCTATGATCACACTCAGCTGTGTTCAGCAGTCCTTCAGAACCACCCTAACCCTATCCCTAACCTACATTTCATGCACTGAAGCAAGTCTATGTGCGGTCCATGAGCAACAATGTAAGACATTAAAATCAAAGTGACTACGTGAAACAGCATACGTCAGGGGTGTCCAATCCTGGTCCTGGAAGGCCGGTGACCTGATTTCCATCAGCAGCTGATTAACAGGCTTCTGCAGAGCCTGATGAGCTGCTGCACAGGTGTTTCAACCACTGAATCAAGTCTGTTGGAGTAGAAAAACCACAAAACCTGCTGGATACCGGCCCTCCAGGACCAGGATCGGACACCCCTGGCATATCTTAATCTTAGATAAACATATAAACGCAGCGAGTGAAGAGGATTGTGCCGAGCATCATTAGTGGAGAAACGCTGGCGAGGTCCAATAGCACTGACTTTTACTAGAGAGCTGGTCATTTGGACTGACACCAAGTTAAAAGCTGCACAGTTGTTTTAAACTCTGCTTGTTCCATCACACAAGTACCGGCTGGAATGCCAGGAAGTGATCTACACACTGCTGCCAACGGGCAGGTGTGATGTCACTCTTACCTCAAGCTCTTTCTTCTGCACATCCTCTCTGCATTTGTCCTGTTCTGGAGAGGTGGAGCTACGGACCACCCTCCTCTGATTGAAGTCACTGATCTGAAAATGAGAAGGTTAATCTTAGCGTTTCCATTCCTAAAAGAATCTCTGTGTAACAAACATCCTGTGGGAGGCAAATACAGATCAACACCCTGAACTGTGCAAGAACAACCAGGACTGAGACGGATGAACTGTTGAACGAGTTCTCAGCGAATGCCTTGGGCCCGGTTCTGATGAACGTAACATGACGGTTGACCCCACGCAACACTGACCGGAGCTGGCGTCCTCGGTTCACCTCAAAACCAAGCACTCACTCACACATATGAGCAGCCAGGGACTGGATGTAAAAACGTTAACGGGTTAATTAGGATTCATTAATCCAAACAAAACTCACGCATTTAACCACAGCTTGCATTTCAAGCAAGGCGGAACCTTTGCCACTGCACGATTTCCTCGTAGACCGAATATCACTGACGCACACAATACGGCGCTCTGCTAACGCGACTAAAACGGGAAGATATGACCTTGCTTGGGCCGATGCAGTGTTTGGAAAACATGTCGGCCTCTTCTCTTAACTTGTAAAAAAACGTGCTGAAAACTGCGGAGCCCGTGTCACGGACATTTTTCTGGGATCTCTGCTGCTGCCCAGTGCAGGGTATCTGCAGGTTTAAGAGAGCCAAATTTAAGACTTTTTAAGACCTTTTTTAAGTCCACTTTGACCAAATTTAAGCTATTTTTTAAATTTCACTTAAGCTATAATTTCCAGCCATTGCATGAAACCGGTGCTAACCATGTCGCGAACGTGGGATTAGCCATCCAGTTACCATTAAACTTGCACTTCCCCATGGTGCAAGCTCCCGTTAGCTTTAACAGCTAATGTGCTCATCTAAAAATAGTCCCCTTTCACAACCAACTGAATGTGTACGGTTCCGCTTACGCAAATACGATACACATAAAATGCTGAATACTAACTAGAAATTCACGAAAATTTCATAGAAATAAAAATATCTTGTTTATTGGGTCTTTAATTTAAGACCTTTGGAAACTGTATTTAAGGATTATTTGTCATTTTTAAGGATTTTTAAGGCCTTAAATTTGGAAAAGCATATTTAAGACTTTTTAAGGACCCGCGGATACCCTGCCAGTGGCACCTGAAACTTAACAAAGGTGGAGGTAAGCCATAATTTTAACATTTATGTAACATTTCTGCAGCGCTGAAAGCACCAGACAGAATAATTTATATAGTTTATGAAAGTAGTCAGACAAGCCTGCTGCAGCTGGGAAGATGCTCCGCGTTCTCACTACTCTGTAAACAATCTTAAAGCAACAGAAACACTCTAAAATCTCTCTGATAACACTTGATCTTCACTATTCTGTTGGTTTATTATATGTTTCTGAGACGAGTGACTGCCTAAACATCGTACGTTTCTATCTTTATGCAGCGAGATGTGTTGATGTGGTCATCAGCTGACCAGGAGCCGTAACAGATCACTGCACAAGAGAAAACCAGGTAATGGACTGGGACAACACAAGGATCATAAACACCGAACAACAGAAATACAAAAGATGGATAAAAGAAGCTATCGAGATAAGGAGACGTGGACGTGGGACCATGAACAGAGACGATGGGGTTTACACGCTGGACCACGCATGGGACTGCATCGTCGGAGAGGGGAGAGCGGGCAGTAGAGGGCGACAACGTCCTCTGCTGCCCGCGGATAAACGGAGAAGGAAGTGACGCGCCACCATCAGCGTCAGCTCTGAGGAAGTCTGCAGCCGCAGACGAAGCGTAGCGACAAAACAGGTAAAGAAACCGTTTCTGTGTTTTAAAAAGAACGACAGCATGGAATCAGAACCACGACACAGCAAGAACACACCTAAGATATGAATAGAAATGCTACAAAAACACTCAATTATACAAACAAGTGAAACTGGAAAAATTTGAATCGGGTGCAAAGTCCATTTATTTCAGTAATTCAACTAGACTGAGAGACGAATGAGTCAGCCTATGAGAAGCTTCTAAATCTGCTACTTGGCAACCATCTCTTCCACCAGGCCCATCACTACCATTCCCTAGGCTTTCATCACTAACCCAGGATTCCCACCCTTGCTCCTGGAATTGCTACCACTTTCTTCTGTGACACGCCCAGTGCACGTTTTGGTGCCACCATCAATCCCAGGGCTACCATATCTCCTCATCGGGCCACTAACCACTAACTCTCCTACTCCTGGATGACATCCAAAGCTACCTGGACAAGCCCCTGAGCTGCCAGCACAACTACTTGGGCTACATCTGCAACTGCGTGGGCTAACTCCAGGATCACAACTACATCTAGAGCTACAACCACAGCTGTGCCGGAAACACCCCCACTGTGATTGGCTGCCTAACCAACAGTGTACAACAAATTCCATCTCGGTGGTCTTCATATTTGCCACTCCTGGAAACCAGGCAATCAGGACTGTTGATCACACTGTGGCCAGACCAACTCTGGGTCTCTTTTATGTCTGCTAACAAGGGTCTTCTTATTTGTCACATGGTTAACCATCACAAACCAGACTTTTAGAGTTCGGTTGAGACTTGGCAGTGACCAGCTGTCTCTGATGAGCAAATACAAGGTCTTTTCTCTCCAGGACTCTTCCTTCAGGCTCTGTTCCGACCATCCCAGCAGCCATTTACCGGCCACCTAGGCTAAACCTGAGTTTTAACATATTTGCAGCATATATTGCCTTCTTATGTTCCCTTTCTAAAATTGTTGTTTTGCTCAGGAGCTACGATGTAGCCACAGCTGCCCTGGGGCGCACTGACCGAGGCGAGGCTGCCGAGCGCTGGCGCCACCGGTCCCTCCGACCACCACCAGCAGGCAACGTGGGTTAAGTGTCTTGCCCAAGGACACGACAGCGACAGACTGAGCGGGGCTCGAACCTGCAACCTTCAGATTACGGGGTGAGCACTTACCGGTGGCACCAGTGCTCGGCAGCCTCGCCTCTGTCAGTGTGCCCCAGGGCAGCTGTGGCTACATCGTAGCTCATCACCATCAGTATGTGAATGGGTGAATGATGCACTGTAGCGTAAAGCACTTTGGAGTCCTTACTCTGAGAGGCGCTACACAAGTGCGGGTCACTCATTTAATTCCTGTGCCACCGTCGCCCACAATGAGAGCGAGTAAGGGCCTGGTGGACGAGCCAAAACAACAAAGAGTGGTTTTACAGTTTTGCAATCTGGATTAGGAAAACTAAGAATAAGATGTCCAAAAGAACTGTAACTATTAACTGGTAAGGCCTACATGGCCTCAAATGAGGTGACCCGCATGCGCCCTACATTTCACAGTGGGCAGCCCTCCGTGGGTCAAATTTCTACCCAGAGAGATCCCACTTGGAGGCCCACACGGGCATGTCTGCTGGGTGATTTCTGCAAAATCGTTTAGCATTGAAAAGTTTAAAAATAGGTTTTGGTGCATAAATGATATACTACAGTATCTTCCAAGACTTCTCTATGGGAGCTTAACCAGTCACAACAAATCCTCACTGATGTTTGATATTTGTCAGCCTAGATGATTAGCATCATAACTGTTGAATGGTTGATCCAACTGAAAAATAGCCAACAGTTTCTGAAAGTACATAAAATGGGCATTCCAACAATGTGTTGCCTGTGGCGATCCATGTTACTGCAAATATCGCTACTGGAGTGAAACTGGTTGTAAGTGTTGAGCATCACACTGAATAAAATGGAGCAAACGCAAAGGAGACAGTGGAGTATGACACAGGGGAGATTGTCATTACCTGAAGGACACGTGTGGGCCCGTCTGGCAGAACTTGGACTGACAGCACCCCCGATCCAGGTCTCATCTTCTGGTTGATGAACTGCTGTTCAGGACCAGGTTCTAACAGACCTGAATCTGGTCCTAGCACCACCTCTGCTCCATCACTCAGGCCTGTGACACCCCCTTTCACCTGTAATAGGAAGTTTACAGTTCGACTGTGACACGTATTCAAGTTATTTATATTTGCATATGAATTACAATAATGGCCCAAAGTCAATGATTAGATGCAACCTGCTGGATTTCATTTAGAGACCATAATGAATGGGAATAATGTACTGAACTCAATAAGCTTAATAATGTTTGCTTAGCTAAATTCCATGGGATTGGGTGTTGTGAATTTGTGCAAAAATCCCCTACAAGGGAAAGCAGTAGCTCAGTAGGTAGAACATGGCGGCCAGTTATCAAATCAAAACAAAACAAATGGAGTGTAGCCTCCAGGAATGGTCAGTTTTCCACCTACAGCCTGACCTCTTCAGTATCTGGCCATTTGGAGTCTTAACTGGTGCTTTCAATCTGCAAGAAAGGTACTGTTGCTTGGCCAAGGTCCCTCTCAAGCTTTCCGCTCATCTCAGACTGCTTTGCTTCACAGAACAAGAAGAATGAACTTTTATAATAATGAACCGTTATGAATAATGAGTGTTAAAATAATCATAATGAATGAATAATAATGGCTGAACTATAATAACATTGTTGTGATTAATCTGTGCTTAAATTACTGAAGTTGAAATGAATATTATGCTATGATCATTAAGTTGATTTAACAAGTGAATCCCTATCTACTGACAAGCTCACACACACTCACCTTATCTCCATAACGCAAGCTAAAGTTAAACGTCACTGCACATAGAGATTTCCTGATCCACAAATCAGAGCTCTTCTATTTGATGTTCTGAGGTTTGTTTGGTAAAACCCCTTTACATGTCACATTCTGGTTGGCCATGTAATCAAAATATGGCCGTTGTTAAAACGGAACTCACTTCCTGAGCGAGTCAGTTTTTGAGAAAGCTTCGGACCAACCATCCGAAGCAAAACCTCTTTAACCCAGCGCATCTTTTGACAAGCTGTCAAAACCTGTTGCACGCTACAGCTGAAACCCCAAACGGTTCCTTCAGAACAAAACTGAACCAGCTTCGACTCCTTAAGAGTCCTCCATACAAGCAAATAACTACCTGTCGTGACCTGGAGACATCTCGAGACCGGTCTAGTGGCACTGCGGTTTCTTCTACGGACTTCGGTACCTTTGGGGGTCCACGGACTTCCTGACATTCCGGATCTACCATGGGGGTCTTCGAAGGGTATGTAGACTCGACAGATTGTGTCTGATGTGGTTTCATAAACCATCACTTATAGTTTATAGCAGACCAAATTCACTCCCACTCAGAACTCAATTTCTTCAGATAGGAGGGTTCTGATAACATCACACCTCACATTCCATCCACTTAGATTCATTCATCACATAAAGTGTTTCCTAGTTGTCATGTTTTTAATTGTTTAGAAAATAAATGTCTTACTTTTTATAAACTTGACTGTCTGAATTGATACGAAGTGTCTTACGATCCCTGAATAAGCAAAGTATTCTAAATCTTCTGGTTAAACATTCAAAGATCAATCAGATTGGATTTCCATATTTATACAGAAATTCATATCTTATTGGTCAAATGCAGTGTAGTATATTGAGCTTTAAAAGCATCCAAAATACATACGTATGCTACTCCTAAACAAGCTTTATTCATAGAGCGCTTTTGAAACAGAAAATGTTACTTAAAGTGCTGTACAGATTAAAAAGATCCCACAAATATAAAAGACCCCACATATCCCACAATTGTCATTGACAAATGTCACTTTTTAACTGCATCCATTGGCCGTGTGCCATCAGGAAACACTGAGATGTACAACTGTGTATCATCGGCATAACTGTGGAAATTCACCCCATGTCTCCTGATGACACTACCAAGAGCATATAGAGGTTAAAAAACACTGGGCCTAAAATTGAACCCTGGGGCACACCACATGTAATCCAATGGACCCTAGAGTAACAGGTTTCTAAACTCACCATAAAAGTCCTGTCTGTGAGGTAGGATGTGAACCATCAGTGGACAGCACCAGAGAGGCCGATCTGTTTCAAACGGGTTAAAGAATAGTGTGGTCTAGGGTGTCAAAGGCAGTGCTTAGATTCAGTAGAACCAACACTGTCATCCTCTGGGCATCATGATTTACTCTAAAATCATTTAAAATATTCAATAGGGCCATCTCCGTGCTGTGGTTCACCCTAAAACCAGACTGACATTTCTCTAGGACATTATGAAAGGTAAAAATCATTTAGTTGATTTAGATACCGGTCATTCTTCAAGCTGCTCCGTGTCTGCCGCTTGTTATCCTCGGCTCTCTTTATGTTTTTGTGGGCGCAATGGCGGCGCTGTAAACGACAGCGGCGTCCTGACCAATCACAAGCTTGCATTGTCCTTCTCGACTGACGGATGTTTAGAAGAGAGCTCGACTCCGTCCGTCCTTGCAGAGCTCTCCGGCAGGCACGCAAGGACAGATAATGGTGTTGCGTGTCTCTGCACTGACGCAGACGGAGAAGCATGAATCAGGCTTATCAGACTTCAGACAGAGCCTTCAGATAAGAAAGGGAGGAGAGGAGGAAAAAAAAGTGTCTGTACTCTCCAAGAGCCGGAAGAAGAAATAAAGATGTCTGGCCTCACCTTGTCTCCTACTAAATACTGAGCAAAGGGTCTGAATGCTTAGGACCATGTAATATTTCAGTTAGTCCTTTTAAATAAATCTGCATTTCTAAAATTCTGTGTTTTCTGTCAGTATGGAATAGTGTGTGTACATTAATGAGTAAAAAATGAATTTATTTGATATTAGCAAATGGCTGCAATATAACAAAGAATGACTAGTTGACGGGGGTCTGAATACTTTCCGTACCCAGTTTAAATGGCTTGTGTTAGTATAGTGCATTCTTAGAGATCTACAACCCCCCAAGGTGCTTCACAACACAGTTCAGCCATGCACACACATTCACACGCTGGTGATGATGAGATACAATGTAGCCACAGCTGCCCTGGGGTGCACTGACAGAAGAAAGACCGCCGAACACAGGCGCCACCAGTTCCTCCGACCAACACTAGCAGGCAAAGTAGCTTAAGTGTCTTGCCCAAGGACACAACAGCAGCATTCTTTGGTGGAAGCTGGGATCAAATCTACAACCTTCTGATCACTGACAACCCGCTGCACCCCCTAATCCACTGCTGCCCTGAAGGACTTTCATAGCCAATGTCCTTACCCCTATAGGACCTACCTGCTAGTGTATCGCTGCAACAGGCTTCAGACCATTAACCCATCTTAATGTTCAAGTTTCTGTTTGAAATAAGTGCCAGTTCACATGAAACCATTGTTTAGGTATATGTGAGATGTCTGACTCAGAAGTTCTGGAGACCTTTAATGCAGCTCAAAAATGTAGTAAGAAGTCGACCAATAGGGTAGTTGCCACTTTGTTCTCACTCTTCTACCATATCAGTACTATGCCTGCTGACGACACCGACATGAAAAAGCGTTGTACAACTGATACCATATGTGTAATTTCTAGTTCTTTGGAGATATTCAAGATCATCTAAAATGTATTTCCACTTGTAAAGAACATTTATATCAGTAGAATAAAGGAGTCCCTATAGCTAAACATGACCTTAGATCATTGTTCAACTGATGAGCAGCAACAGTTACTTTGCTGATTTCTTTACTCCTGCTAACACACACCAATAATCTCAACAGTTAATCAGTACATCTGACCCTGATCCTCATCACATGGACCCAGTTTCCTTCCTGGTAAATAAATAACAGGGTTATTCTGTTTCTTTGATTAAATCCTAGATCTGAACGATGGTGGACTTGGTCGTAGTAGGACTGTAGATTGGTCTTTGCACGTCACAACAGCAAACCAGGGAAAGAAATACCGTCCCGGTTTTATAGAGGTACATACCTGCACCACCAGCCGAGGAAGACCACAGGTTAGCATGCCTGAAGTGAAGTACCATGTCTGGGTAGTGCTGCGTCGAGAGTCTGGCCTCCGTAGCATCAGTGGCTCATAACTAGGAGAGACCAACATGTAGTCAAGGACAGGCCTGTAAACGGCCTTGTGGTTCTCCTCCAGTTCATTGCCAGAAAACCACAGGGATTATACAGTCGTGGCCAAATGTTTTGAGAATGACACAAATATGGGAAATTGGAAAAGTTGCTGCTTCAGCTTTTATAACAGCAGTTTGCATCAACTCCAGAATGTTTTGAAGAGAGATCAGATGAGTTGCATAGTCCTGCTTTGCCACGGAAATGAACTTAATCCCAGAAATAACTTTCCACTGCAATTTATTGCCGTCATTAGGACCTGCTGAGATCGACTTAGTAGTAGGTCTTGTTAACTCAGGCGAGAATGTTGACGAGCACAAGGCTGGAGATCATCATGTCGGGCTGATTGGGTTAGAATGACAGACTTGACATGTTAAAGGAGGGTGATGTTTGAAGTCATTGTTCTTCCATTAGTAACCATAGTGACCATGCAGCCATCATTGTGTTGCATAAAAATAGCTTCACAGGCAAGTGTGGCTACTAAGATTGCACCTACATCAATAATTTATTGGATCATCAAGAACTTCAAGGAAAGAGGTTCATTTCTTGTTAGGAAGGCTTCAGGGCGTCCAGGAAAGTCCAGCAAGCACCAGGATCGTCTCCTAACGAGGATTCAGCTGTGGGATAGTCTCCTAACGAGGATTCAGCTGCAGTATCGTCTCCTAACGAGGATTCAGCTGCAGTATCGTCTCCTAACGAGGATTCAGCTGCAGGGTCGTCTCCTAACGAGGATTCAGCTGCAGGGTCGTCTCCTAACGAGGATGCAGCTGTGGGATAGTCTCCTAACGAGGATTCAGCTGCAGTATCGTCTCCTAACGAGGATTCAGCTGCAGGGTCGTCTCCTAACGAGGATTCAGCTGCAGGGTCGTCTCCTAACGAGGATGCAGCTGCGGGATCGTCTCCTAACGAGGATTCAGCTGCGGGATCGTCTCCTAACGAGGATTCAGCTGCGGGATAGTCTCCTAACGAGGATTCAGCTGCAGGGTCATCTCCTAACGAGGATTCAGCTGCAGGGTCGTCTCCTAACGAGGATTCAGCTGCAGGATCGTCTCCTAACGAGGATTCAGCTGCAGGATAGTCTCCTAACGAGGATTCAGCTGCAGGGTCGTCTCCTAACGAGGATTCAGCTGCGGGATAGTCTCCTAACGAGGATTCAGCTGCGGGATTGTCTCCTAATGAGGATTCAGCTGCGGGATCGTCTCCTAACGAGGATTCAGCTGCGGGATAGTCTCCTAACGAGGATTCAGCTGCGGGATAGTCTCCTAACGAGGATTCAGCTGCAGGATAGTCTCCTAACGAGGATTCAGCTGCGGGATAGTCTCCTAACGAGGATTCAGCTGCAGGGTCGTCTCCTAACGAGGATTCAGCTGCAGGATCGTCTCCTAACGAGGATTCAGCTGCAGGATCGTCTCCTAACGAGGATTCAGCTGCAGGATAGTCTCCTAACGAGGATTCAGCTGCAGGATCGTCTCCTAACGAGGATTCAGCTGTAGGATAGTCTCCTAACGAGGATTCAGCTGTGGGATAGTCTCCTAACGAGGATTCAGCTGCGGGATCATCTCCTAACGAGGATTCAGCTGCAGGATCGTCTCCTAACGAGGATTCAGCTGCAGGATAGTCTCCTAACGAGGATTCAGCTGCAGGATCGTCTCCTAACGAGGATTCAGCTGCAGGGTCGTCTCCTAACGAGGATTCAGCTGCAGGATCGTCTCCTAACGAGGATTCAGCTGCAGGATAGTCTCCTAACGAGGATTCAGCTGCAGGATCGTCTCCTAACGAGGATTCAGCTGCAGGATCGTCTCCTAACGAGGATTCAGCTGCAGGATTGTCTCCTAACGAGGATTCAGCTGCGGGATAGTCTCCTAACGAGGATTCAGCTGCAGGATCGTCTCCTAACGAGGATTCAGCTGCAGGGTCGTCTCCTAACGAGGATTCAGCTGCAGGATCGTCTCCTAACGAGGATTCAGCTGCAGGATAGTCTCCTAACGAGGATTCAGCTGCAGGGTCGTCTCCTAACGAGGATTCAGCTGCGGGATAGTCTCCTAACGAGGATTCAGCTGCGGGATTGTCTCCTAATGAGGTACAGCTGCGAGATCGTCTCCTAACGAGGATTCAGCTGCGGGATAGTCTCCTAACGAGGATTGAGGATTCAGCTGCAGGGTCGTCTCCTAACGAGGATTCAGCTGCAGGATCATCTCCTAACGAGGATTCAGCTGCAGGATCGTCTCCTAACGAGGATTCAGCTGCAGGATAGTCTCCTAACGAGGATTCAGCTGCAGGATCGTCTCCTAACGAGGATTCAGCTGTAGGATAGTCTCCTAACGAGGATTCAGCTGTGGGATAGTCTCCTAACGAGGATTCAGCTGCAGGATCGTCTCCTAACGAGGATTCAGCTGCAGGATCGTCTCCTAACGAGGATTCAGCTGCAGGATAGTCTCCTAACGAGGATTCAGCTGCAGGATCGTCTCCTAACGAGGATTCAGCTGTAGGATAGTCTCCTAACGAGGATTCAGCTGTGGGATAGTCTCCTAACGAGGATTCAGCTGCGGGATCATCTCCTAACGAGGATTCAGCTGCAGGATCGTCTCCTAACGAGGATTCAGCTGCAGGATAGTCTCCTAACGAGGATTCAGCTGCAGGATCGTCTCCTAACGAGGATTCAGCTGCAGGGTCGTCTCCTAACGAGGATTCAGCTGCAGGATCGTCTCCTAACGAGGATTCAGCTGCAGGATAGTCTCCTAACGAGGATTCAGCTGCAGGATCGTCTCCTAACGAGGATTCAGCTGCAGGATCGTCTCCTAACGAGGATTCAGCTGCAGGATTGTCTCCTAACGAGGATTCAGCTGCGGGATAGTCTCCTAACGAGGATTCAGCTGCAGGATCGTCTCCTAACGAGGATTCAGCTGCAGGGTCGTCTCCTAACGAGGATTCAGCTGCAGGATCGTCTCCTAACGAGGATTCAGCTGCAGGATAGTCTCCTAACGAGGATTCAGCTGCAGGGTCGTCTCCTAACGAGGATTCAGCTGCGGGATAGTCTCCTAACGAGGATTCAGCTGCGGGATTGTCTCCTAATGAGGTACAGCTGCGAGATCGTCTCCTAACGAGGATTCAGCTGCGGGATAGTCTCCTAACGAGGATTCAGCTGCGGGATAGTCTCCTAACGAGGATTCAGCTGCAGGATAGTCTCCTAACGAGGATTCAGCTGTGGGATAGTCTCCTAATGAGGATTCAGCTGCAGGGTCGTCTCCTAACGAGGATTCAGCTGCAGGATCATCTCCTAACGAGGATTCAGCTGCAGGATCGTCTCCTAACGAGGATTCAGCTGCAGGATAGTCTCCTAACGAGGATTCAGCTGCAGGATCGTCTCCTAACGAGGATTCAGCTGTAGGATAGTCTCCTAACGAGGATTCAGCTGTGGGATAGTCTCCTAACGAGGATTCAGCTGTGGGATAGTCTCCTAACGAGGATTCAGCTGCGGGATCGTCTCCTAACGAGGATTCAGCTGCAGGATCGTCTCCTAACGAGGATTCAGCTGCAGAATCGTCTCCTAACGAGGATTCAGCTGCAGGATCGTCTCCTAACGAGGATTCAGCTGCAGGATAGTCTCCTAACGAGGATTCAGCTGCGGGATAGTCTCCTAACGAGGATTCAGCTGCAGGGTCGTCTCCTAACGAGGATTCAGCTGCAGGATCATCTCCTAACGAGGATTCAGCTGCAGGATCGTCTCCTAACGAGGATTCAGCTGCAGGATCGTCTCCTAACGAGGATTCAGCTGCAGGATCGTCTCCTAACGAGGATTCAGCTGCAGGATAGTCTCCTAACGAGGATTCAGCTGCGGGATAGTCTCCTAACGAGGATTCAGCTGCAGGGTCGTCTCCTAACGAGGATTCAGCTGCAGGATCATCTCCTAACGAGGATTCAGCTGCAGGATCGTCTCCTAACGAGGATTCAGCTGCAGGATAGTCTCCTAACGAGGATTCAGCTGCAGGATCGTCTCCTAACGAGGATTCAGCTGCAGGATCGTCTCCTAACGAGGATTCAGCTGCAGGATCGTCTCCTAACGAGGATTCAGCTGCGGGATCGTCTCCTAACGAGGATTCAGCTGCAGGATTGAAGTGCCACCAGTGCAGAGCTCGCTCCGGAATGGCAGCAGGAAGGTGTGAGCGCATCTGCACGCACAGTGAGACGAAGACTTTTGGAAGATGGCCTGGTGTCAAGAAGGGCAGCAAAGAAGCCACTTCTCTCCAGAAAACTATCAGGGACAGATTGATCTTCTGCTAAATGCATGGAGAACGGACTGCTGAGGACTGCGGCAAAGTCAGATTCTCCGAAGAAGCCCCTTTCTGATTGTTTGGGGCATCTGGAAAAAGGCTTGTCCGGAGAAGAAAAGGTGAGCACTACCACCAGTCCTGTGCCATGCCAACAGTAAAGCATCCTGAGACCATTCATGTGTGGGGTTAGGGTTCTCATCCAAGGGAGTGGGTTCACTCACAGCTTAGCCCAAAAACACAGCAGCGAATAAAGAATGGTACCAACACACCCTCCGACAGCAACTTCCTCCAACAATCCAACAACAGTTTGATGAAGATCATGCATCTTCCAGCACGATGGAGCACCGTGCCATAAGGCAAAAGTGATACCTCAGTGGCTCGGGGACCTAAACGTTGACCTTTTGGGTCCATGGCCTGGAAACTCCCCAGATCTTAATCCCATTGAGAGCTTGTGGTCAATCCTCAAGAGGCGGAAGGACAAACAGAAAACCACTAATTGTGACAAACTCCAAGAAGAGATAATGAAAGAAGGGTTGCTATCAGTCAGGATTTGGGGTTAGGGTTAGGGTTAGGATCGTCTCCTAACGAGGATTCAGCTGTAGGATAGTCTCCTAACGAGGATTCAGCTGTGGGATAGTCTCCTAACGAGGATTCAGCTGCGGGATCATCTCCTAACGAGGATTCAGCTGCAGGATCGTCTCCTAACGAGGATTCAGCTGCAGGATAGTCTCCTAACGAGGATTCAGCTGCAGGATAGTCTCCTAACGAGGATTCAGCTGCAGGATCGTCTCCTAACGAGGATTCAGCTGCAGGATCGTCTCCTAACGAGGATTCAGCTGCAGGATAGTCTCCTAACGAGGATTCAGCTGCAGGATCGTCTCCTAACGAGGATTCAGCTGCAGGGTCGTCTCCTAACGAGGATTCAGCTGCAGGATCGTCTCCTAATGAGGATTCAGCTGCAGGATAGTCTCCTAACGAGGATTCAGCTGCAGGATCGTCTCCTAACGAGGATTCAGCTGCAGGATCGTCTCCTAACGAGGATTCAGCTGCAGGATCGTCTCCTAACGAGGATTCAGCTGCGGGATAGTCTCCTAACGAGGATTCAGCTGCAGGATCGTCTCCTAACGAGGATTCAGCTGCAGGGTCGTCTCCTAACGAGGATTCAGCTGCAGGATCGTCTCCTAACGAGGATTCAGCTGCAGGATAGTCTCCTAACGAGGATTCAGCTGCAGGGTCGTCTCCTAACGAGGATTCAGCTGCGGGATAGTCTCCTAACGAGGATTCAGCTGCGGGATTGTCTCCTAATGAGGTACAGCTGCGAGATCGTCTCCTAACGAGGATTCAGCTGCGGGATAGTCTCCTAACGAGGATTCAGCTGCGGGATAGTCTCCTAACGAGGATTCAGCTGCAGGATAGTCTCCTAAGGAGGATTCAGCTGTGGGATAGTCTCCTAATGAGGATTCAGCTGCAGGGTCGTCTCCTAACGAGGATTCAGCTGCAGGATCATCTCCTAACGAGGATTCAGCTGCAGGATCGTCTCCTAACGAGGATTCAGCTGCAGGATAGTCTCCTAACGAGGATTCAGCTGCAGGATCGTCTCCTAACGAGGATTCAGCTGTAGGATAGTCTCCTAACGAGGATTCAGCTGTGGGATAGTCTCCTAACGAGGATTCAGCTGTGGGATAGTCTCCTAACGAGGATTCAGCTGCGGGATCGTCTCCTAACGAGGATTCAGCTGCAGGATCGTCTCCTAACGAGGATTCAGCTGCAGAATCGTCTCCTAACGAGGATTCAGCTGCAGGATCGTCTCCTAACGAGGATTCAGCTGCAGGATAGTCTCCTAACGAGGATTCAGCTGTGGGATAGTCTCCTAACGAGGATTCAGCTGCAGGGTCGTCTCCTAACGAGGATTCAGCTGCAGGATCATCTCCTAACGAGGATTCAGCTGCAGGATCGTCTCCTAACGAGGATTCAGCTGCAGGATCGTCTCCTAACGAGGATTCAGCTGCAGGATCGTCTCCTAACGAGGATTCAGCTGCAGGATAGTCTCCTAACGAGGATTCAGCTGCGGGATAGTCTCCTAACGAGGATTCAGCTGCAGGGTCGTCTCCTAACGAGGATTCAGCTGCAGGATCATCTCCTAACGAGGATTCAGCTGCAGGATCGTCTCCTAACGAGGATTCAGCTGCAGGATAGTCTCCTAACGAGGATTCAGCTGCAGGATCGTCTCCTAACGAGGATTCAGCTGCAGGATCGTCTCCTAACGAGGATTCAGCTGCAGGATCGTCTCCTAACGAGGATTCAGCTGCGGGATCGTCTCCTAACGAGGATTCAGCTGCAGGATTGAAGTGCCACCAGTGCAGAGCTCGCTCCGGAATGGCAGCAGGAAGGTGTGAGCGCATCTGCACGCACAGTGAGACGAAGACTTTTGGAAGATGGCCTGGTGTCAAGAAGGGCAGCAAAGAAGCCACTTCTCTCCAGAAAACTATCAGGGACAGATTGATCTTCTGCTAAATGCATGGAGAACGGACTGCTGAGGACTGCGGCAAAGTCAGATTCTCCGAAGAAGCCCCTTTCTGATTGTTTGGGGCATCTGGAAAAAGGCTTGTCCGGAGAAGAAAAGGTGAGCACTACCACCAGTCCTGTGCCATGCCAACAGTAAAGCATCCTGAGACCATTCATGTGTGGGGTTAGGGTTCTCATCCAAGGGAGTAGGTTCACTCACAGCTTAGCCCAAAAACACAGCAGCGAATAAAGAATGGTACCAACACACCCTCCGACAGCAACTTCCTCCAACAATCCAACAACAGTTTGATGAAGATCATGCATCTTCCAGCACGATGGAGCACCGTGCCATAAGGCAAAAGTGATACCTCAGTGGCTCGGGGACCTAAACGTTGACCTTTTGGGTCCATGGCCTGGAAACTCCCCAGATCTTAATCCCATTGAGAGCTTGTGGTCAATCCTCAAGAGGCGGAAGGACAAACAGAAAACCACTAATTGTGACAAACTCCAAGAAGAGATAATGAAAGAAGGGTTGCTATCAGTCAGGATTTGGGGTTAGGGTTAGGGTTAGGATCGTCTCCTAACGAGGATTCAGCTGTAGGATAGTCTCCTAACGAGGATTCAGCTGTGGGATAGTCTCCTAACGAGGATTCAGCTGCGGGATCATCTCCTAACGAGGATTCAGCTGCAGGATCGTCTCCTAACGAGGATTCAGCTGCAGGATAGTCTCCTAACGAGGATTCAGCTGCAGGATAGTCTCCTAACGAGGATTCAGCTGCAGGATCGTCTCCTAACGAGGATTCAGCTGCAGGATCGTCTCCTAACGAGGATTCAGCTGCAGAATCGTCTCCTAACGAGGATTCAGCTGCAGGATCGTCTCCTAACGAGGATTCAGCTGCAGGATAGTCTCCTAACGAGGATTCAGCTGCGGGATAGTCTCCTAACGAGGATTCAGCTGCAGGGTCGTCTCCTAACGAGGATTCAGCTGCAGGATCATCTCCTAACGAGGATTCAGCTGCAGGATCGTCTCCTAACGAGGATTCAGCTGCAGGATCGTCTCCTAACGAGGATTCAGCTGCAGGATCGTCTCCTAACGAGGATTCAGCTGCAGGATAGTCTCCTAACGAGGATTCAGCTGCGGGATAGTCTCCTAACGAGGATTCAGCTGCAGGGTCGTCTCCTAACGAGGATTCAGCTGCAGGATCATCTCCTAACGAGGATTCAGCTGCAGGATCGTCTCCTAACGAGGATTCAGCTGCAGGATAGTCTCCTAACGAGGATTCAGCTGCAGGATCGTCTCCTAACGAGGATTCAGCTGCAGGATCGTCTCCTAACGAGGATTCAGCTGCAGGATCGTCTCCTAACGAGGATTCAGCTGCGGGATCGTCTCCTAACGAGGATTCAGCTGCAGGATTGAAGTGCCACCAGTGCAGAGCTCGCTCCGGAATGGCAGCAGGAAGGTGTGAGCGCATCTGCACGCACAGTGAGACGAAGACTTTTGGAAGATGGCCTGGTGTCAAGAAGGGCAGCAAAGAAGCCACTTCTCTCCAGAAAACTATCAGGGACAGATTGATCTTCTGCTAAATGCATGGAGAACGGACTGCTGAGGACTGCGGCAAAGTCAGATTCTCCGAAGAAGCCCCTTTCTGATTGTTTGGGGCATCTGGAAAAAGGCTTGTCTGGAGAAGAAAAGGTGAGCACTACCACCAGTCCTGTGCCATGCCAACAGTAAAGCATCCTGAGACCATTCATGTGTGGGGTTAGGGTTCTCATCCAAGGGAGTAGGTTCACTCACAGCTTAGCCCAAAAACACAGCAGCGAATAAAGAATGGTACCAACACACCCTCCGACAGCAACTTCTTCCAACAATCCAACAACAGTTTGATGAAGATCATGCATCTTCCAGCACGATGGAGCACCGTGCCATAAGGCAAAAGTGATACCTCAGTGGCTCTAGGACCTAAACGTTGACCTTTTGGGTCCATGGCCTGGAAACTCCCCAGATCTTAATCCCATTGAGAGCTTGTGGTCAATCCTCAAGAGGCGGAAGGACAAACAGAAAACCACTAATTCTGACAAACTCCAAGAAGAGATAATGAAAGAAGGGTTGCTATCAGTCAGGATTTGGCCCAGAAGTTGATTGAGAGCATGCCCAGTGGAATTGCAGAGGTCCTGAAAAAGAAGGGCCAACACTACAAAAACTGAGTTGTTGCATAAATGTCATGTAATTGTTGATAAAAGCCACTGAATCATGTTTCAGTACATCACAGAAACACCTGAAACAAAGATCTAAAAGCAGTTCAGCAAAAACTTTGTGAAAACTAATGTTTGTGTCATTCTCTAAACTTTTGGCCACGACTGTAGACTGGAGGAGAGGACTTCAAAAGCAAGATACAGGAGTACAGGACATACTTGTTGTCACTGACAGCTGCTAGCCCAGCTATGTCCAGAACCAGAGAGGAGTCAAGAGGCCGTGGCTGGGACGGCTTGCTCTGGGGTGGAGATGAGCCTTCATGGCAGAGCATCCCGGTCCCAGTCATTCTCCACAACTGGGATCGCTTCCCTGGCTCCTGCACACCAAGCATGGAGAACACTGTTATATACCATCTCGCACGCACACACACACGCACGCACGCAGGCAGGTACGCACACACACACACACGCACGTGCACACACACCTTTTTCTGGAGGATGACTCTCTGGGTTTTGGGGTCCACATCAAGTACCAGCTCCGTATGGCTGATCAGGCGACGTTTTCTCTCCAGCTTTCTGTACATTCAGGAAAAAGCTGTCAGTGGTTTGAGGCTGTGCTGTCCAACCAGCACCATATTCTGTTGTTTCAGTTGGACAGCTTGGGGTCCTTACTGTGAGAAGGTATGGGTCGCTGCAATGTAGATGAAGTTCTCATAGTAGAGCTTGTTGTATTCTCTGAAGAAGTTCATGTCAGCTGTGACCTCAGAAGATCCTGCTCCTTTTACTGTAAGCGTGAGGTAGGGGGGCAGTGTAGGCTCATCACAGGCATAGTCCAGCACAGACAGAGGCTTCACTTCAGTGTGCAGCCTGAGATCGGCCACACCATGCTGCCAGAACTGCACAGGAACCTGAAACCAAGCAATCGTATACATTGGCCCAGCTGTACTCTATCCATTCTTTGTTTGTAGCACCGTGTTTCTTGGCCACAGGTTAAGTTTATGATCATAACCATCTCCTTCCATTGTTTTTGTGGGTTTCTTCCTGTCCTTTGTGCTTCTGTTGACGGTTGTTACAACCATTCTTTCCAATGTCCTTGTGAGAAGACTTCAAATCATTGAGACCCGGCATTACTATCTGTCCTGAGGGAAGACCTGCACTTTCCTATTAAAGACATTCACTCATATAAAAGAAATTGTTAGCAAGTCAACATGTGATAGACTGTGTGGATAGAAAGCACATTTGTCTAACCAGGAGAATATGTCACTTGAACCAATGATTAGTAAAGGCGCTCCGACAACAGAATGTCTGGAAGTGCACACACACCGAGGAAGGAACAAGAACACACTAAAGGCAGTAGGCTATTACCATAACCGTCTGCAAATAGAAAAGGAGTAAAAATAGAAAACAGAACATTGAGTCTCCAATGAAAAACAGCATAAAAACACTGACATACAAATGTGCATCTGAGGATTGCACAGGTACTGAATATAGTACTCATGTTAGCGTGTACCAGGATAATGCCAGTACCAGTTAAACTGTGGAGTTGTACACTCTCACCGCAGAGCGGATGAATGACCTATGGTAGTGCTCTGTTTTACGTCTGGGATGTCCAAGTCTGCCGTGAAAAGAGTTGTTCATGGCCTTCACAGTGGAATAGTGAGTGGGAGTGGTATTCCATGATGGAGGTCAGTGTCACCAGCATCCTCCTTTAACACACATCCTCACCAGAATTCAGCAGGCAGCCCAGAACCAAGCTAGCTTTCTCTTTTGGTTTCGGTCAGAGCTCCTACACCCCAACAGACCACAGCAGAATGAATAACGATGGCATGGAACGGTAAAGAGTTCAGCTGATGGTGGGACCAGTTCAGTTTATTGTTGAGGTGAACACCAGGTACTTACAGGTATCCACCACCCCAATGTCTGCACCTGGATGTTTACTGGTGAGTGAGGGGGAGTGTTCAATCACCATTTTCTTCATCTTACTGGTGTTTAAGCAAAGGTGGCTACACTCACACCAGTCCACAAAGTCCATGATGGCTGACCTTTACTCCAGGTAATTCGCCCCGGACACACAGCTGCCAACGGCAAACCCTCTGAGAACATCTGGAGGTGACAGCTGCTGGTGTTGCAGGTTGTAGGTGAAGTCCGAGGTGAAGAAGGTGAATAAAAAGGGTGAGAGGACCTCAGACATGCAGTTACACAGTCTCGTGTACTGTGGCCTGTTGGTGACATTGTTGGTGGTCCATGGAGTCAGGTGTCCATCCACTCCTGCACCCCTCATCTTCTGTTGCAGTAGAGACAGTCTCAGGGCTCACCACAGAGTGTGGAAGGGCAAGGATGAGTCTCTCTATGGTGTTCATCAAGTGGGAGAACAAGGTGACTGGTCTGTAGTGGTCTGGTTCCCAGGGATGTGATGTTTTGGAAACTGGAACCACACAGGAGGTCTTCCAGAGAATGGGGACCTGCTCCAACTAAAGGCTCAGGCTGAAAATGTGCAAAACCACTTCACTAAGCTGGTCAGCAATCTGGGGCTGATCCTGTCAGGTCCTGCAGCTTTCCTGTTCTTAAGCCGCCTCAGTTCTGTCCTCACCTGGTCAGATGCAAGGGAGGGGGGGAGAGACAGAGGGTGTGGTGCTGCACGGGGCTTGATGGTGGGGGGAGGTGTGAAGTGGTGTGGGTTTAGGGGATGGGGAGCTCGACTCACTGGAGGTGGTTGGGGACGGTGGTGGTGGTGCCTGTTGCAGTTAGGGGGTTGGAGTCAAACCTGTTGGACAAATTAGGCTCATTGGCGAGTTCTGATTCCTCCTCGACTGTCCGACTGGCACCACACCTCCCACTGTGTCCAGAAATATTTCTGAGACCTCTCCATGCACCGCAACATTGTTCTGCTCCAGATGTTCCTCCAGCTTCTTCCTGCAGCCCTCTTTGCCTGTCCGATGTTGTATTTGAGCTCCTTCAGGACTTGTCTCCATTCTTTTTGGTCAACAGCCATCAAAGCTTTCTTCCTGTCGTTCAGCTGGGATTTGAGCTCAGGGGTCAAACGGGGCTTATTATTTGAAACATCTCACTCTCCATGTTGGGACATGTCTATGTGAACTTCTGTGTGTTCTCAGAAGTTCACATAGACATGTCCCAGTGGTCAAGGTCATCTCCATGCCTGGTCTCCCATTCTGTGGTTTGGAAGCAATCCTTCAGGCTCTCTTTACATTTTCACAAACTTCTTCTGTGGAGACTCTCTGCCCACCCTGGGTGTGATCAAAGGGGTGGAGTGAGGGGAGGAGGGTGGACGTGTATGCGTTTTTTACATTAGCATACAGCCTTTGTCTCTGGTCTGGTAATTCACATAGTGTGTAAGTAGGGAGAGTAGAGGAGAGCAAGGCGTGATAAAAGTCCCCACTGATGAGCAGAAGTGTATCTGGAGGTGTGACTGCTGCTTTTCCACTGAGCTGTGAGACAGTTTGCATGCTGCATGTAGATGAGGGAGGGATGTCCACATGAAAGACTACCGCGTGTGAAAACTATCTCGATATGAAATAAGACCGAAGGCAAACAGCCAGTACTGGATGTCTCTTGTGCAGAGTCGCTGTTTAATGGTCACATGACCCGGGTTACACCCTCATTAACAAACACAGCCAGACCCCTGCCTTTTCTCTTACCACTCCACGCCTGTGGGAGTTTAAAACCTTCCAGGGAAACCTCGGAATCTGAAATCAACTAGTTCATGGTTTAGGCTCGGTAGTCCTGCTGTAGCGCGATCAGCGCCGTCAGCTCATCGCTTTTATTGGGGAGAGAACGAACATTTCTCATCATCACAGAGGGTAAATACAGTTTATACCTCTGTTTTCCTCTCCTGGAGCTTTTATCCCGCTCTACAGCCTCTTCTTTTTCTTTGTGCTTTAAATGTTCGAAAATGTTCTGTTAACACAGATAACAAAACTACGCACTCTCAGATATTTACCACACATTTGAGACTGATCGGGACAAAAAACCGTTATGGCCATTTCCCTGTGGTGACCCTCTAAAGTTCTACTATAATAAATAAAGATAGCTTAACACTGTCTGCTGCTTTGACTGCACTGACACAACAGGCCAGAACACTGACTAACTGCTCAAACAACTGCTGCATGACAACTAAAATGTAGTTAAAAAAGCATAAACCTTGTGTGACCGTGGGCTTTGGTGGTCCCAGTTTTGTGTTTCTACGTGGATTTGTTTCAGAATTTTATGTTAATTTATGTTTAACCAGAACCTTGACCAGATCTGTCCAGAGTGTTCTACAGAGACAATCCTCTGTAGTTTCTGGTTCTGTCTGCTTGGCCAGTACGAAAGGGGGGGGGGGGGGGGGGGGGGTAATATGTGCTTACATTTACTAACAAAAGCAGCGTGTTACAATGGCAGGCAGCAGTCAGACATACTGGCATCCCACACTAGAGATGGACTGTAAGACCAAATGTGAACTGTGTAACTTAAAGTGATTTGTTGTGACCAAATAGAAAACATGTTAATGCTGATCTACAGAGGACTGGCACTAATCAGCTGTGCCTGAATAGAAGTAAATGTTTGTAATAGAGTTTGGCAGCAGGTAGTGACTTGTTGAGTGATTCCACCCATGAAGCTTGTTAAGATTTCACAAACTTACCTCAGACAAGTTGTCGACACGAAGTGGTGGAGGCATGTGCTCAGTGTCGGTAAACGAGATCTGGTAGGTAGCCCCTTTCAGGGTGATCTCTGTCCGCAGGTAAAAACAGCTGCCCCGCATGTCTCTGTTTGAATTGAGACTCATTCAAAATCTCTCCAACACTTCAGCAAGTAGAAGTGACCTGTATTTATAAAGCGCATTCTAGAGTACCTTTATTTACAGTGCTCAGCATAAATGAGTACACCTCTCTACATTTGTCAGAAAACCATTAGTTTCCTCTCAGAATCAACATTTTCCATGAGATTCCATACTACAGACTACTGGGACTCCATACTCTGTAATGATATAACAAATATGCTGTTTCTGAAAGCTGAATGGCATCGTAAAGGTGAGGACTTCAAAGAGAAAAGCACGGTGCCTACAGTGAAACACGGCGGTGGCGGTGTCCGTATGTGGGCTGCATGAGTGCTGCTGGTGTTGGGGAGCTGCATTTCATTGATGGTATCATGAACTCAACAATGTCCTGCTCTATACTGAAGGACAAGATGCTGCCATCACTCCGTGCACGTGGTCGTCGTGCACTTTTCCAACACGACAACGATCCAGAACACACATCTAAAGCTGCTGGTGCGTTTCTGCAGAAGAACAGGGTGAAGGTGGTTGAATGGACAAGTGTGTCTCCTGATCTGAACCCAGTCCAACACCTGTGGGGAATTCTGAAGCAGCAAGTTGAGCATCACCCTCAATCCAGCATCCAGGCTCTAAAACGTTATTCTTGAAGAATGGAAAAATATAGATGTTGTAATGTGCTGCCATCTTGTTCATTCCATGCTTAGAAGACTTGGTGCTGTCCTTAAAAATACTAAATACACAATACTAGGTGTAGTAGTTTTTTTGCGGGGTGTATTCATTTTTGCTTCAAACTATTTTAGTAAAACTGAAGATTTTGTCATCGAGGTTTATGTTTATTTATTTAGCAGACACTTTTATCCAAAGCGACGTACATATGTTACTCCATAGGGCGTGTTGTGATCTGTGGGGGAAACCGGAGTACCCTGAGAAAACTCATGCATGGGGAGAACACGCAACTCCACGCAGAAAGGTCGCAGTCAAGTTTCGAACCGGCAACCTTCTTGCTGCGAGACAACAGTGCTAACCACTGCGCCACCATGCAGCCTTTAAGTTATATTATTAAACTTAACACCATGTTATGGAGTTAAACAGCTGTTCAATAAAACCCAGCCTTGTGAAAATTCTGTCAATTGTTCTTTTGTTCACTGAGCTACTTATTAAACTTGTACTTTTTAAAAGGGGTGTACACATTTATGCTAAGCACTGTACAACACTTAACACAGACAGAAAATCACAAAGATCAATAAAACAAAAGATCATGAAGTCTAAAACAACAAAATATCAAATAAATGGAAGATAATTAAAACAGAAAAAGTCATAATAAGATGAATTCTGTTTGAATGCTGAATTCTGAAACTAAAAGCTGAAGCTAGTAGCTAAACTGACGCTGAAACTAAGCTAAAAACTGGACAGGCTAAATGTTTAAACAGCTGGTATTTTAGTAGGAGTGGTTTAATTGTTCATTTTCACAATTAGCTGAACTGTGAATTTAGTAGCATGTGCTGAATTTTGAAACTGATAGCTGAAGTGAAGCATAAACTAAACCAAATTGTGAAAATAAGCTGAATGTATTTGAATATTTAGAAGTAAAGATCACTAACAAGTGTGAAAAAGCCCAAAAAGTAGGTGAAGCATGGAGAAAAATAATCATTAACAGCAAACTGAAATCTCTGAAGTTTAAAAAATGGACAGCTGAAATGTTTGAACAGCTGACATTTTAGCAGAAAGAGTATACTAGTCTCTTTCATGATTAGCTAGTTACCCCCATCTTGGTGCCTGTACGTTGGGGTTGACCCCAGTGAATGAGAGAGTAGCCTCCCTCCGCCTACGTGTGGGGGGACGGGCCCCGACTGTGGTCTGTGCTTGTGTACCAAACTACAGTGCAGACTACCCACCCTTTTTGGAAACCTTGGAGGGGGTGCTGAAGAGTGCCCCTTCTGGTGAACCCCTCATTCTGCTGGGGGACTTTAACGCCCACTTGGGCAATGACAATGAGAGCTTGAGAGGTGTGGTTGGGAGGAAGCCCCCCCATTCCATAATTCAGATGAATTAGAGTTGGGTTTTGTCTTTGTACTAGTGCTACTGTGCTAGTCAAGGACGTATGGACGTAAAGGTGTCCATATGTGCTCTTGGCACCAGGATAGCTTAGGCCGCAGCTCTATCAACTTTGTTGTTGTTTCGTCTGATCTGCGGCCGCATGTCTTGGACAATCGGGTGAAGAGAGGGGTGGAGCTGTCAACTGACCTGGTGGTGAGTTGGCTCCAATGGTGGGGGAGGATGTCGGTCAGACCTGGCAGTCGCAAACGTATATTGAGGGTATGATGGGAACGCCTGGCAGAGTCTCCTGTCAGAAGGAGCTTCAATTCCCACCTCAGACAGAACTTCCCAAATATTCCGGGGGAGGCGAGGGACATCAAGTCCAAATGGGCTTTGTTCCCTGGCTTCATTGTTGAGGAGGCCGACAAGAACTGTGGCCACAGGGTCATCAGTCCCCGTTGTGGCGGCAACCCCAAACCCGCTAGTGAACACCGGCAGTTAGGGGTGCTGTCAAGCTGAAGAAAGAGTCCTACCAGTTCGTTCTGGCCTGTGAGACCTCAGTGGCAGCTGATAGGTACCAGCAGTCCAAGAGGAATGCGGCTCGGGTGTTCGTAGAGGCAAAAACCCGGGTGTGGGAGGAGCTTGGTGAGACCATGGAGCAAGACTTCTGCATGGCTTTGAGGAGATTCTGGCACACCATCAAACGATTCAGAAGGGTAAAGCAGTGCGCTACTAACACTGTTTATGAGGACGGTGTGCTGCTGATTTCTACATGGGACGTTGTGGATTAGCGGATAGATAGAGTACTTCCTCAATCCCACTCCTCAATCCCACTCCTCAGTCCCACTGGCACTTCTTCCAGTGAGGAAGCAGAGTATGGGGACTTTGGGTTGGGCTCTCCAATCTCTCATGCTGAGGTCACTGAGGTGGTCAAAAACCTCCTTGGTGGAAAGGCCTCGAGATGGATGAGATCTGCCCAGAGTTCCTTAAGGCTCTGGATGTCATAGGGCTGTGTTGGCTGACACGTAGGGCTGTGTTGGCTGACACGGATGAGCAATACTGCATGGATATCGGGGGCAGTTCCACTGGATTGGCATCGGTCCGATTTGCTCTGAGTAGTGCTCCTGGAAAACTATCTTATGTCTCTCGGCTAACCAGGGAACGCCGTAGGATTACCCTAGAGGAGCTGGCCAAAGTCTGGGCCCCCCTGCTTAGGCTACTGCCCCCGTAACCAGACTCCGGATATTAGGCCGACAATGAATAGGCGGATGGGTTCTCTATTTAGAAAGGGTTACAATGGTGTTGTAGTAATTTACCTTTAGGCTTCACATTCCATAACATTAATTTATTGATAGACCATGTTCACTGGTTGTTTCAAGACATTTGCAGTATAAATTAATGCCTTGTGACTTGATCTCTGTGGGGAAATAATCTGGTACTCCTATTTCAGGAAGTAGAAGTTAGCCAGAGGCGAACAACAGATGACAGGATTTGGATTCAATATTTTGACCACTCGCCTCTGATTGGCTAACAGAAATGTGGCATCTTTTTGCTCTGCAATGATGTTTTATTTCCACAAATAACAGGAGTTCTGCTGTGTGGTGGAGTTGTGAATGCTACAGAATAGCTGCTACTAACCCAAACATTATCAGTTTAGTTTATTAATGCTAATTATCAGCGTGACGTAGATATGTCAGGCTTTTCTAATAAGAGCGTTTCCCCATTTTTTTTCTGTCAGTGGCTAATGCAGAAAATTGCAGTAGAGGACTATTTTTACATGTAGCCTGCAGGTGAAACTTTGTGACTGATCATATAAATAAAAAGAAGTGAAAATGGTTTCTCAGTGAACCTGCTCATACTGGACACCCAACCTGCAAACTGCAAAGCAGCAGGAAAGAGCCATTTGTTTCCATGCCCCCCCCCCCCCCCCCCCCCAAATACTCTGACTTTTTTCTGTTTCTTGTCCCCCACAAAAATGAAACAGGATTTCCGTCCCTCCTCTAAAGAATTCAAATGGGCAGACTGATGGACTCCCCGTATGGGCTGACACGCACAGGAACACTGTTTGTAGTTTTTGGGCACCTGCCACTGTGGGGTGCCTATAGTAGTCACACTGAAGGATTAAAGTGAACAGACTGCTGTGTTCCCCATTTGGGCAGAGACCAACAAGGCCACCGTGGGAATTGTTTGGGCAGTTACTAATGTGGTGTGCTCACAGAAATAAACACAGTTAAAGCACGAGTGCAAATTTCCTTTGGGCTGGCCCATGGCCTCCCACAAGGGTTCAGGATGGGATGGATTTGGGCAGATCCATCTGTGGGTTGCCCTTAACTTAAACTAAAATGGGACCACAAGGGAAAACATATGTGGGCCCCATTCACGAATCCATACACAAGATCCTCGTGTGCTGGTGAAGGTTCTCAGTCATCCAGTTTAAGCTAATCCAAAGGGGTTTGAATGAAGGGAGATGTGGTATTCACAGTAGGGCTGGGCGAGATGTCCTAAAATCAATATCACGATATATTGAGGATTTCACCTCGATAGCGAATAAAGGAAGATAACTACAGGAATGCGCAGAAGCAAAAGTTGTCCACTAGATGGGGCTGTCACATGTATTACATTGAGTCACATTTTTAAGTGATTCAAGGTGGTACAGCTTCTTAAAGGGACATGAACACTGCCAACCTACACACATCTTTTCATTTTTATTGTCACATTTATTGACATGGTAAAAATGATTTTGAGAATGACACATTTTCGATTTACTGCCCAGCGCTAGTACATAGGTAGTTTCTGTTCATTAAGCAACAGACAGCTACAGTTTATAGCATGACCCTCTTATATTCCGGTCAGAACTGACAAAACTCCTCGGATGAGAAGTGAAATGTCAGAGTGAGCAGTAAGCTATAACAGTCGGATCCTCTAAAAGCAACACTGCTTACTGGCACCTTTGTA